CACTGACTCTTTTCCAACTGCCTGTTGGCTTTTTTAGCTCTTCAGTTTTTTTTTTCGCAATGCAATTCTCGAAAAGTTTTTGGTACCAGTGTTTGTTTCATAAAATTTAAAAGTAGCTCTTTTGTTCGATGAAGTTTTAATCTTACATTTGCGAGAGCAAGTGTCTCCCCAGGAACTAGATTTTCCCCCAAATTACAAATCTCGCGTATAGGCATGCATGCTCATTGCAAGTTGAAATGTAGAATCATGTGGGAAGCTTTTTTAGCTTTAAAGAAACTATCATATTAGGTAGTAATTAAGGTAGTTTTTTTCGGGTACGTGGTTTTCGTCCAAATTTTTGTCGGCTTATTTTTTTGAATTGCTTGTTCATTTTTAAATGGAAAAATTTTAATCAATTTTTATAATTAAAAAGTTTTCTGTAATTTGTGAATTCATCAACTCTGATTGCCAATGATTTTTTTTTGCTGTTTTCGTTGTCATGGTTTCGTTTGAATCAACTCGTTTAGCGTATTATAGACTACAGAACGTTTTTTGAAGTTGGATGTTTCAAGAGTTCGTTTTCAAGACTTATGGGCTCAAACTTATCGCTAAGTATTAAGAGTAATGATTGTAGTGAGTACTCTTATATAGGTTTTTCCGATTTTTTTTTTGTTTTTTTTCTCAGGAAAAATCTTGAGAATTTGTTCACGCACAATTTTATTTTTTCGAGTTTTGACTTGTGATTTCTTTTTAAGTTCAGTGCTTTTATATTGTTAAAATGGTTCAGTATTTTTTTAAATTTCTTTTTGGGCATGGCTCTTTTCTAACTGTCTATGGCCTATGTTTTGATTATCAATGCTTACTTGACCTTTAAGCTTTTTATGAGACAAACGGTTCAATTTTTTTTGTAGATGTAAGTTTTTCAGTTTTTTTCAAAAAGTTTTTGACTTCCCTCTGTTTTTCTATTCGCATAGCCATTTTGCAATGTTTTAATTGTATTGGACGAGCAGCAAATGTAAAGCAATTGGATACAAGAATGTCTGTGTACATTTTCTTCGGTTAAAATGGTTTTAGGTTATGCTATATCGGTTTGGTTGCCTCACAATAAGTTGTTCAAAGGGATAAAACATTTTAAAATGCATTTACGCTTCGGTGTAAATGCATTTGAGCTTGGGTGTTTTAGACAGTTGAGCTTAAGTGAAGACAGTTGAGCTTGGGTGTTTTAGGATCAACTGTCTTTTACTCAAAATATTGTCTGCTTAGTTACCGCTCGATCAAAGTTTTCTCAAGTTGGACTTCTCAAAGTGAAACATTGTTGTTGTTGTTGCTTTTGGGCATTTTTTCCGACACAGTAGCTTAGTGTTTGGTCTCATCTTGGCTGTTGGATTACGTCTTCATCTATGCTTGCGTTATTTGATTGGCATTTCACCTGATAAAATCAAGTGTACTGTTTTCTATGTAGTTTTCTGAAGTCAATGTTCAAAACGTCTTTTTCATCCAAATGAGCAATCGAGTGAAAGTTTCCGACGTATCTGCATTAATTTTGTTTGTCCAAGATGCAATAATCTTTACAATTATCACTCAAGTCAGGAAGGTACTGACGGATTAATCAATTTGGAAAGTTCTGCTAACTGGGTGATATGATTTCAGTTGGAAGGGACGCAATACGTGCATCCTCGGTCAAAAGAGCAGCCTTCTGGACAAAATGGCTGCAAATAGCGCCTTTTTCCTCGAATAGAGATATTGACTTGAATACTAGATGCGATATCTACGGAGCTTGTATCCGGTCAGTTCTGATGTACTGCTCTGAAACCTGGGTGCAGACCAAGGCAAAATCAAGCTCTTTTAAGAGTGCTGATATGAAAGCTCTGCGTAGGTTTACCGTAGTCACTTATACAGACAGAGTTTCCAACGAAGCAGTAATTAAAAAGTCAGGTCTTGCTGATCTGGACAAGCTGCAAGTGCGGTCGCGGTTACGATGGTATAGCCATGTTCACGAAAGAGAAAATGATCATGCGCGAAAATTAACAGACTATTTTTCTGTCCCAGGGAAAAGACCAGCAGGAAGGCTTGACAACGCTGGATCGATTGTGTAAAACGAGACCTGAATACTTAAGGCCTCAAATCCACAGATTGCCTTGATCGAATGGCATGCAAAAACGTGTTATCCTCCCTGAACTAGCTTGAATGCAATTCAGTGTGCCTTTTCTGAACCATTGCTAACACGCTTTCCGGATGTCACACCCCGCCACAATGGAAAATTGGACAACAAACGCATTATTATTATTAGTAGTATGTGTCCGAGTCCTCATTTTTTTCCGCAGCAAAGATTTTATGAAAATCTTGCGTTTTAACTTTGGATTTTCATTAAAATAATTTCGTTCCCTCTGCTGAAAGGAGGACAAACTCAAATATTGAACAGCAAAAGTGTAAATGTCACCAAAAAGGTCATCGACTAGCTTCAAAAAGGTATTTTAATTTTCAGATTTCTCAGCGGAATGAAAAATTTTCTTTTCATCCAGTTATTTCAATTTGTCTTGTTTCTATCAAAAGTGTCAATCATATTTTTTTATTGAAATTCAAAGAGCTTTAAGGCCGTATAAATGTTTTTGGAAATTAAAGAATTGAAGTTTTTTCGGAAAACAAGTCAACATTTTTTTGTTCCCTTGCGTTCATGACTCTGTTCAAATGCTTTCAGTTCACAAGAAATGACATTTACAACCCTATGGTGGGTTGTTGTTAGAATACTCTGCTGGTTTAAAATCTGGCCTTCGAGTATAACTGCTCAAATTTTTCATCTTTTCGAGAAATAACGTTTCTATGACTTTTTTATTTGCTTTAACTATTTGAAGAAAAAGAATGGTTTGATTTTCTCAACACTATAGAGTGCTGTCAAGATACAACCTGGCCTGCAATTTCAGTGCTCAAATTGTTTTGCTGTCAGGGATCTGACGTTAATATTTAGATATATCTTCTGACTGTTTTGACTGTTGGATGCGTTCAGTTTATTTTAAAAGGCCGTGTAGTTTAGTTTTACCTTAAATGTCATTGCTCTTATGTTTTTCACCTTTATCTCGTAAAAACAGTCGATCTTTTTCGTGTTATATGTTAAACAATTCCTTTTCTGTAGCTTTAAAGATAAAGTTAATTTTTATTGGCCTCAGTAGTACCTTCGATACTCTGCTTTCAGTTTCGCAAAATAGGTGGGGCATTAGGGGCGAAGCACTCACCTGGTTTCACAATTAATTTACTGACAGAACGCTCTGTAAAGCCTCTGCTCCTTATTGATCTTCTACTTATTGGCGATGTACTGAGAGAACTTTATGTGCCATACCACATTAATGCTGACGACATCCAATTGTGCCTACCCAGTCGATCTTTGAGACTCTCTGTGATGATCGAAAAGTTCATTCGTCGGTTAAAATATGTGTTCAGGTCTTAAAGACTAGTCTTTAATGCAGAAGAAGCTGATTTTCTTGTCAATCAACGAAATAAAGGTTGAATGTTTGGCCCCAGATTGTGACAAACTTACGTGAAAATATTGAAATTAAAAGACGCCAGAAGCTTAGGTGTTTTTTTTTCAATGAAAACTTATCAATGAACGAACAGATCAATCGTAATTCAAGACTAAGGCAACTTTCTGGAATACGTAAGTATATATTATTTTAAAACGCTGCTCATCTAGCTCGCTTCTTTGCTTAAGGCGGAGTTACTGTAACAGCCTCTATTTTGATCTGACTGCTGATTAGATTTATAAACTTCAGCGCGTTCAAAATGCAGTTGCTTGTTTCGTTTTCAGCTCGAAACGTTGAGATCATATCTCCGATTTTAACCGAGCTACATCAGCTGTCGAGTTAATTTAGTTTGCGAGGCATGCTTTCCATTTTTTGTGAGATTACCACATGTCTCCACTTGTTGTTGCCCACATTGCGTTTTCGAAGATTCAGCGAATCGCTACTCCAAGTAGGAAGAAGAATAAAATATAGAATCAGTAAACAGTCACCTTTTTCTTCTGCAGCTGCCGTTTGAAACAAATTCCTTGAAAGTATTCGGTGCGTGCAGGGTTTCGAATTTTTTAAGCGCAATCTAAAGAATCGCTCTCTGTTTTGCAAATAATGTAACACCTTGAAAGTTTTGCAGCACTTCGTATTAAAATGTGTAGCTTATTCTTAGGTTTTAAGGATTTTTCTTCAATTCGTTCGCGTCATTTGCAAAAAAGCTGTCAGATCAATTATATCGGGCTTTTTTTAAATGGGCGTAAAAAAATTTTGATCGCGTCCAGTTTTACCGCGTTTGTAGTTCTTGTGTCGATGCTATCGATGTTAGCAGTTCTGGTGGAGTTTTGGAAAAAGAATATTCTGCAGTTCTACAAAGAGAGCAGTAGTAATTTGAGAAAAGTTAGTCTCTTTTTGTACTGTCAAACTTCATTTGATATTGAACGTGGGTACGTATTCGAAAGCTTTATTGAAATCAGTAGATTTCTTCGGGTACAACAAACAAAGTACAACGCGCATTCATTGTGGGTTGTGATTGCTATAACTTTCATAGGAGTGTATTCTCCCTCCGAGAACGATTTATTATGCTGTTTTTGACTGAGAACAGTAGTGAGAAAGTTAGTCTCTTTTTGTACTGTCAAACTGCATTTGATATTTATCGTTGGTACGTATTCGAAAGCTTTTTTGAAATATGTAGATTTCGTCGGGTACAACAAACAAAGTACAACGCGCATTCGTTGTGGGTGCAATAATTTTATAGGAATATATTCTGCCTTCGAGAACGATTTCTTATGCTGTTTTTGACTGAATATCGTGAAAAAAACTGGTTTTTTGAAATCAAGTTTGTACCTAAATGGTTTAAAAAAACGTCATCTGATTTGTTCTTTTTTGTGGTCAGATGCTGTATTAGCTGAGTCCATTTTGGTTGAATTGGCTCGAAATGGCCGAGATATGTTGATAACTAAAAGATTGATATTGTACTGATCGAAGAATTGAATGCGCCTGGTCAATTTTGTGTTTTCTTAGGAACACAAAGACCCATGATTACGAAACCATGTACTGTACAGAGACCTGTAATCAAATCTCGAAGCAGCAATCTAATACCTCCTAAGTTGTCTGTTCCGAAAACATCCAGTAGGACTTCACAAGTTAACCCAGGACAGGGTCAGAGATCAGAGCATGGTTTGGACAGTAGTGCCGAGGAGCGTGATCTCAGAAGCAGTCGGAATAAGTCAATTCCGAGAAACAGAAGCGGAATTCCGCTCATTTCCAATGCACATGACAAAACGAAGCACAGTGCAATCATAAACAATAGTGGCAATGTATCTCATGTGTCATCAATAGGAGGAATGCATAGCAATGCGAATTCGAATATTGGGAGGTTGTCTTCAAGAGATAGTCGCAGTATATCTCCGGGACAGCGAAGAAGAAACAACAGTTGCAATAGCTCCACAGCTCCCGGGCGCTCTCTGGCACTGAAAAAGGTCACATCGACAAGAAGTATTGCCAACCCCAATGTATCTCGTGGAGGTTATGGATATGACAGCAATAATATACGGAAATCACAGTTGCCGACAAGTTTGTCATCCAATAGCTTAAAAAATGTGCAATCCTCCGTCAACCCAAACGACAGCATGTCAATTACTTCGTCTAATTTTGCACTCGATGACGAGTTTTACTGAATCACTCACTGCCGCTGATGCAAGTTTACAGTTCTATATGAAACTAATTTATTTCAACTCTTTTCCATCGGTCTCACTTATTATTGGCTTCAAATTAGATAGTAGTGCGGAATAATTAGTGCTCGCATGTGTTGATATTTAAAATAGCAAGAAGAGATGGAGTTAAAATAACCAGCCAGCTGTTTTTGAACATTCTAAATCAGTAACAATGAGCGAAGGGAATGAAGTCCGGTGATTCGCTTAGTTTTATACTTCACTTAGTTTTTTGTCCCGACCATTGGAAATGGGGAGGAAATTTGTATTCGGGTGTTTTACTTTTCTCCACGCAAAATTAGGTACCACAAATAATCATTGGAATGGGTCGAGTGATATATCATATTAAATCCCTTTCAGTCGTGATTCGACCAGGATAAACAATTTCTCAAGTATTTTCTCTGTGTCGATAACGTTTCATTTGAAATTTCTGATTTTTCGTCTAATTTCGAGCGAGTAAAGTGAGCGACCACGCTTACAAAATCCTATTTTTGCTTAATTTAAGCCGTGAAAGCTTAGTTTTACTCGAGTAGAGTTAATTTTTGGAGTGTTTTAGCGCCATGTTGGGATGCAAAAATTTTTATTTTTTTAAAAATATTTTAAGATTACCAGTCGATGAACGTAGCTCATACTCTTACTTAGGTCGTGATGATGTTTTTCATTTTTTTCAAGAAAAGTCTTGCAAAGCTCTAATAACTAAAGAAGTGCTTTCATAAATGCACATTTGAATGCCATTATGTATAAATGCTTTTTTTTTATTTCAATACTAGTTCATTTGTACAATTCACTCTCCAATTATGGAAGCTAAAATGGCGCCAAAAAAAACTTGATCATTTTATAATTCAGAAAGTGGAATTTCTTTTTTCGATTTCCCAGCGGAATAAAAACTTTTCCTCATAGTCCAGTTTTCCCAAATTGGTTTGAATTTTATCCTTTAATGCCCATCATAAATTTCTTTTGAATTTCCAAAGCAATATTCCGGTGCTTATTTCACATTCTATTGTCTTGGAATATTTTTGTTTGTTTTTGTTTCAAAACTAGCCTTATTCATTTTGATAGATAGTCTTTTTTCAATTGTGTTTTGTTACGTATCGCAAGTTGTGCGAAGCTCAGTTTAGCCTCTGTGTTAAAAACTCGAGGTCGGTAATTTTCATGCAAAAGCAAGTGTTTGCATTTGCAACCGCAAGTGTAATGCAACTTGCTTTCCAGACTTGTTTCAGGGGTTTGATTGATGGAAATTTTTCTCTTTTTAAAATTTTTCTCTTTTAAAAATTTTTTTTCTATGTGTCTTTAAACGAAGTTGAGACACTTATTTGGGCCGTGTTTTTGTTTCAGGAGAAAATTTTGAAAGTTGCTTGCGCTCGAGGTTATATTTTTCCTATTTATCAAATGAACTTCAATTTTCAGAGTTCCCAGTGGAACACAATTTTTTCCTTGACCCAATTTTGGTTCCGACTGCTTTCCACGCAAAATCAGGTACCTCAAATAATCTTCGGACTGGGTTGAGTGGTATATCATATTCAAATCGTGATTCGAACAACGTTTAACAATGCCCAACAAATCCTGTGTCGAGACAAACGGGTTGAAACTTCGATTTTTTTGTCTAATTTTGAGCGAATTAAGCGAGAAAGCAGCTTTACAATAGCTTATTTATGCTTGATTTAAGCGGTGAAAGCTTAGTTTTACTCGAGTAAAGTTTATGTTTGCAGTTTTTTTAGTGCAAAAGAATTCTGCATAAAAGATTTAATTTTTTAAAATTTTTTTAATCGTTACGATTCGATGAACTTAAAGGTCTTAAATAGCTTGTGATGATTTTTAAGGAAAAGTTTTTGAAAGCTTTAGTGACAAAAGAAGTGCATCCATACTCATAAACGCACATATGAGTTCCCTTTGCTGTATTGCCTTTTTTGAGTTCAATACAAGTTCATGTTCGAGAGGTAGGCAAAATTGTGAAATCTAAATTGGCGCAAGACATGTTATCAATTTCTAGTTAGAAAGTGGATTGATACTCAGAAAGTTTTCTGGAACTCGAAAAATTTCATCTTTTAACTTTTTTTCATAATGTCTAAAAATTCAGACCTCGAGCTCAGTTAAAATTTTCCGAAAGCCATTGTTTGCACTTGCAACCGCATATGTATTGCATCTCGATTCCAGACATGCTCTGGGTTTTGATTGATGGAAACACAATCAACCTTTTTTCTCTTTTTTTAAAAGTTTTTTTTCCATCTTATATATTAAATGAAACTCCGAATGCGCTATGGACGCAATGTTCAACTGAACGCAATGCTTTAATCTTGTCGAATGCGATGTTTAAGAAATTTTTTAAGGCTCAACGTTCAAAAGAAGATCGAGTATATTCTAGAACTTTCAAATTTTCTTAGGTCTGGAATATTCGAGAATTTTTTTGACATTTATTCTTTTTTTTAGACAAGATGAACTCAATTCATTTTCAAGGCTAGACAGTGCCTGTCCATTTTTTTCAGAAAATTTTTCCTTTTCGGATTGATTTCAATCTGAAACGAACCAACTAAAAACAGCAACCTCTTTGCTAAAAAAAACTAGCTGTTTACAAACCGATTTGCGCTATGAAATGTTTTGAAATATTTCAATGTTTCATCTCTTGCATAGGTTGCTTAGAAAAACATAAACTTTTCGCCAATCGATTTGCTCAGTGAAAACTTGAGAAAATTCAAAGTTTCAGTGGCTCAATAGCTTGCTTAGAAAAATTGAAACTTCTCGCCAGTCGATTTTCTCTGTGAAACAACAAAAATATTTCAAAATTGCATCACAAAAAAAGCGTGCTCAGAAAAACTTTGAAATATTTCAAGCTATTTCATAGACCGTATCGTTTTGCGAAAAGCTCAAGTTGTTTAAGCAAAACTTTTCGCAAACCGATTTGCCCTTTGAATTAACTTGAAATATTTCAAATTTTCTGAGCTCTAATTGCTGAACAACTTAACCTTTTCGCAAATTGATTCGGTCCAGGAAATTTTGTGAAGTATTTCAAAAAATTTTTAGCTTGCTAACAAAAACCGTAATTTTTCGAGAAGCGATTTGATCTATGAAGTAACTTGAAAAATTCAAAGTTTAGGAGATGGAATAGCTTGCTTAGAAAAACTTAAGTCTTTCGCGGAACGATTAGGTCTACAAAATTGATGTGGGTTATTTGAAGTTTCATCGCTTGAATGGCTTCATTAGAAAAAACAAAACTTTCCGCTTTCGAAGTTTCCTAGCTTGAATAACTTGCATAGGTAAACTTTCCATTTTGGCAAAACCTTTCGGTCTATAAAATTACTTGGCTTATTTGAAATTTCATCGCTTGAATGGTTTCAAATGAAAAAAAAATTCCTGTTTTCATTTAGTCCTTCAATTTGTAATTCTACTACCCTTGACTTCGCATATTTTCCTTCTGTTTTTTTTCGCTTAAAAGGTTTTTTTTGGCCTGATTAATTTCTTCTCGTATATTATCGGTCTACGAATCTAAATTTGGGACGCTCGAGGGAGCGATAGTTTGTATACATTCCTCCGGGTCGCAGCAAACGATAAAAAATCTCACAATAGATTTTATAGTTCAAATTTTTTCATGACAATAGTTTTGTTTTTGCTGGAAATTTTTTTTTGAATTTTCATTAAACGTCATTGATTGTGTTTCTGGACGTGTTTTCTGCAAATCGAACATCACTCCAGACAACATTCCATTTCCTTTGGACTTTCTGTGGCTCTTTTTGTTTCCTGTCTGCTAGCTTGCAATGCTACTTATGAGGTATCGCAAGTGTTGCGAAGCTCCGCTTCACCTCTGTGCGCATAACAATTTTTCACCAGTTTTACACTAGCAAGCTTTAGTATATAAGAACGAACCTTCTTTTTTTCTAGTTTAATTCGCAAATACAAGTCTTAATTTATTTCACTTATGCTATAATCACAATCTGAGGATTGGAAATTTCATTGCATCTTCTCTGCTTTATTTGTGGCTAGTGTGTCTTTAAACGAAGTTAAGACACTTATTTGGGCTGTGTTTTTGTTTCAGGAGAAAATTTTGAAAGTTGCTTGCGCTCGAGGTTATATTTTTCCTATTTATCAAATGGACTTTAATTTTCAGAGTTCCCAGTGGAACACAATTTTTTCCCTTGACCCAATTTTGGTTTCGACTGCTTTCCACGCAAAACCAGGTACTACAAATAATCTTCGGACTGGATTGAGTGGTATACCATATTGAAGCCCTTCAGGCCGTGATTCGAACGACGTTTAAAAATTTCCATTAAATACTCAGTGTGGACAGAGGGTAGGAATTGGATTTTCTACTCTTTCGAGCGATTAGGCTTACCTTAGCCTATTCATACTTAATTTAAGCCTCAAAATTTAATTGTACTGGAGTGAAACTTTTTTTCAGAGATTTTGCCGCCATTTTAGGAATCAAAATGTTGCAGAAAAAAAATAGAACGGTTTTTTCGTTTTTCTTGTCATTTGTTTTGCAAAAACTGTTTTCCAATTTGCCTATTTTACTATGACTGTCGAATGTTTCTAAGTTCTAGTTTTTTTGTTCAGATCCTTTGATTACACCACGGAGAAAAAATACCAGTTGAAAAACCTTGATTTCACTATTTAAATAAACTTCGGAATTTTTTTCCAAGACTATGGTCGGAACAATTTGTGCTTCTTGCACAGTGACCGGCTATCCTTGTTATCAATTGGTATAGTTTTATGAAAAAAAGTTTAAATCATGTTAAGGCTCATTAAATTTCAAGAACTTTTATTAAATGAAACTTTTTTTAGAAATCAAATCATGTTAAGGCTTATTATATTTCAAGATTCTTTATTAATTGAATCTCTTCGAAATTCTTATTTAAAAAAACGCATATGTGTTAGTTAGTTCATCAAAAGGGTCGTGATAGTATTTCGCATTTAATTTTACTAATGCTCGTTTCTATCTGTATTGCTTAACTGTTTACAAAATCCAAATGGGTTTCTGTAAAGTATGCCATTTGAAGTTAAATTTCAAAAGTCGACAAAAATCAAAACTGCTCTTACAGGTTGTAAAATTTGATCCCTGATTGTGACTTATAATAATTAAGCTCGCCTAATAAATAAACTGTAAAAAATTGTATCAATTTTATATTGAAATAATAATGAAAACAAATGAGTCTTCTACCATTCTACCAACAATTTTTAAGCTTAAAATTTATTTCTTACATAACCTAATCTTTTCAAGTGACAAGCCAATAGAGGTACAGGTTGCCGGTAGCAGAAAATTGATTTGTTCTTGCTCACGGAGGGTTCAAGGAGGTATATATTTGAAAAACGTTGACGAAGGTTTGATTCTTGATTAAGTGTCAATGAACCAAGTGATGGCTTTTTTTGTTGTGGTTTTTTGAGTTGATCGCAATCCAATTTGATTTTTTTACCTTTTAAATCTATGGCTTTCAAATTCAATGCTAATACCTGCACTAGAATGAAGGCAAACTGCGCTTCCCAATAATGAGAGGGCAAATCGCGTGAAACAAAATGTGATTGGCTTGAATTATAAAAATTAAAAATGTTATTATATAGTGGAATAGAAAAAAATTACTTGATCTAATTTTCTCAGTTACCATTAGTCTAATCAAAAAAAAATTTATGACAAAAGCGTCTTCAAAATGAAGGAGCTTTTAGAAGATAGTTTTTTGTTGAATTTCAATAGTACAACTTTAGAAAATTTTTCAGTTTTCTTGAGTTCATTGAGTATTTGCTATGGTACAAAATTTTGAAACAAAACAAATCTACTCTTTAGATCTAGAGTGATGGCAGAACTGTCAATGTTCTCATTTTCATATTGACTTTCAGCAAAAAAAAGATATTTTTGCTTGGGTGGTTTTTTATCTAGAGAAATCAGCAAAAAATCTTACTTTGAATTGGTCTGATGAAAAAACAACAATTCTGAGTAAATTGTTTGCCGGTTTCTCTAATTTCTATGAGCGTCAGTAGCACAATTGTGAAGGGCATTCAACTGGAAAACCCTAATGTCCGAGGATTGAGGTTCAATTCCCGTTAAAAGAATTGCTTTTTCACAACTTTTGAGTTTTAACGCTTGCGAGTTTTAATCACTTGGAGTACATCATCACTTGTACATAATCACTTGGAGTACATCAAAAATACCTCTGTGTTTCATGTACAGTCTCCGTTTGCCGAGTAACCCTCCGCCCTGGTTATGGAACGCAAACCGTGCTTTCTTAATACCTTCGTTAATAGCAATTTCTTAGTCTCCAGCAGCATGCAAAGTCGTAGTATATTTTTTATGGAATACATAAAAGGTCTCTATTTTACATGCCAACGCTATACTGCGTTTCGTGTCAATGTGAGGCCCAGCTTGTCACTTTTACTCTTTTTTTGAAAAGCATCGAAATAGCTGCATTGTGATTATATGGACAAAATAAAACCTTACGTTGAAAACAAATAACAGTTTTCGATGGGGGTTAGGAAATTAGACGATAAGCAATTAGACGTGACCAACAAAAACGAATTTAGACGTTAAATTATTTTTGTAAAACTAGTATTTTAGACGGAAAGCAAAGGGCTAACAAAACTTATTGCTTGAAACAAGTTTTCATAATTACAAAAATAATATATGAACCCATTGCATATCAAAATATTTATCTCAATTGATATATAAAATGTTAATTTCAAGATTATAAAACATTTTTGAAATGCATAAATTATACAATTGCGGCATGTGAAAAATGCGGCATGTGAAAAGTTGATTTGCATTTAAGGAAGCTGAACGAAAGTTAAATGTAGCCGGTAAACAAATTTAAGACACGAACAATACAATTACGTCTAATTTCCCATATTTGTAATTTTGCATCGACGTCTAAATTCGTTTTTGTTGGTCACGTCTAATTTGCTTTTCGTCTAATTTCCTAGGCCCCGTTTTCGATGAGTTTTTGTTGATTTAAGAATCGTCAACGTAGAGTATATTATTTAGATAACCAATTTATGAAACGTCGCTTGTTTGTTTGATGCAGGATTAAATTCGGTTCAATTAAGTACCTAAATAGGAGTGGAATCTAAGATTTTAGCAGCATTAGTTTCGAGATCGTTTGTTTAGTAAAACCTTTATCATCATTACTGCTTTATCCTGTTCAAACGGGGTCGGCGGGCGCTCCTAAATCTTCGAGCACCAGAGTTTGCGGTCGTGTGCGTCAGCTTCTGTCAGTCTTCGTCTTCTCATTTCACCTTTATATCCTCTTCAAGTCTTTTTCCCTGAACCTCAAGGGAATATGCTTCTTTGATTGGATTACCGTCTTATCTACGCACGACGTGCCCGAGCCATTGCAGTTTAGCCTTTCAATAAAGCTCTCTGAATACTAAGTCGGCTCATAATCGAGTCTGATGGAATGCGATATAATAAAGTTACTCGTTGGAATCCCTCATAGATGAAAGACCGAATGGGTGAAAATAAAAATTGGATTTCAGTATTTCAAAAAAAGAAAATATCAAAGAATTTAAACCTTAACAGGGACATAGTATTAATATGGACCGAATATAAAAACGGCAGATTCATGCAAAGTTTTCAAATTGTCACTGACCTCCGGCGAATTGGACTAAAATTTATATTTCAATGGTTTCTTTATAAAAGAAGCAAAGTATTGGTTCAGTTCATTCCTTTTAGTTGAACGACAATTGATTCATTTTAATAATTGACTTTTGACTGTTTTTGCTTGCGGTCCTTCGCCAATGAATCTTTTGCAGATTTGGTCCTTGTCCCTTGAGAATAGCCCTCTGGTTACTCCTCATCATTCTGGGCATGCGTTTGTGTTCTAATTTGAGAGTCCAAGTTTCACAGGAGTAATTTTCATACGTAAATTAACCGTAATTATCGGAAATTACAAGTCAACAAAGAATAACGATAGATATGCCCAAAAAAATGCTTTGGGAATTCTTTTCACGAAATTGCGAAAAGTCCCCAAAATTGGCAGAAACACTGCTAAAAGCAGACTGAAGAAAGTTTTTAATTTCTAATGAATAATTTACATCATTTCGGAAAAATATAACTTGATGCCAACAATTTATATAATTATTATTTCTGCCTCGTTTCGGTTTTGAAGTAGATCGGTTTCTGGTAGCTGGCCGATTGTTAACATTCCATTTCATACGTAAATTAACAGTAATTATCGGAAATTACAAGTCAACAAAGAATAACGAACTGCCATAAATTTTGGTGTTTAAAAGCAGAATTCAAAGTCATAAAATACGCGAAATAAAAACATCAAATCAATTTTAAAACAGCGCGTGAACAACTTGTGAACTTTGTTTCGATCTTTCAGTTTTCGACTTTTTGTACACACTGTTCTTCGTTCACCAGAAAAGTTCATTAGTTACAACCTTAGTTTTTCTCGCTATGAACTCTAGCGAGAACATCCTCGCCCCCCAACAGAGAGAGAAGAGGTAAGAGCTCCAAGGTCAGCCGGGTCAGCTCTCAAATCCAGGAACTGCTCCTGTCCGGGTCGGCGGACCTTATTTCTGCCTCATTTCGGTTCTGCGGTAGATCGGTTTCGGATAGCTGGCCCATTGACAACATTTCATTTCATACGTAAATTAACCGTAATTATCGGAAATTACAAGTCAACAAAGAATAACGAACTGCCTAATTTTCGGTATTTGAAAGCAGAATTGAAAGTCATAAAATACGCAAAATAAAAACATTAATAAATCAATTTTAAAACAGCGCCTGAACAGCTTGTGAACTTTGTTTCGATCTTTCAGTTTTCGAATTTTTTTCACACACTGTTCTTCGTTCACCAGAAAAACTCATTAGTTACGACCTTGGAATTTCAATTTTTATTTAAATGGACATCTCTGCGTGTGGAGATGAACTTCGCATAATGCCGGTACAGCGTCTAATTACCCATGATCTGCAAAGAGTGCTGATAATCGAGGTTCGGCCTACTCTTCTACCAGAAACGCCACAAGGATCGACAGCATACTCTCATTCCCTTGGTTTTGGCCACATTAACACGAAGGCCTTTGGATTCCAATGTGATTTACACATAACTAAACCATGCTCGTTAGTAAGCCATTTCACAGTCTCCAGCAGCTTGCAAAGTGTGTCTCATTTAGTAAAATAGGTTTTGAAATGTAAAGCAGTTATGACTAGGTTTGTACGGAGAAAAATTGTATGGAGTTGAAATGTAGGACAACCGCTTCACATTATCAAATGTTATGAGATACATCCAATTTTTTGGGCTTAGCTGGCTGACCAAGTTGCGACATTTTGAAGTGCGAGGAAAATTTCATAACTTGCAAAAGTTTCTACCGAAATTTGAAGGTGGTCAAATTTTTCGTCAAAAAAGTATCATTGAAAAAATGCAGCTTAAAATATGCTGAGTCTAACCCTGCTTTTGTTACTCGCAGGCACCTCAACAGCCGATTGTGGGGCATTTTTTGTCTGTTATTGAACCAAAGTTGGCATTTTTTGGCTTTTTTTTAATATGAGACTATTTGAATTTTATCTGCGTTTGAATGAAAATAAAGGCAATTGCATTTAAGTTATTTACAATTAAAATACTTAGAATAATCTAGACAATACAAAATATATCTGAATTTAAATTGATTCTGTGGCTGTTTAAATTGACTCATTGCTTTTGGGTTTCTGGAAAGCTTGTTTCAGTTTTTTTGGATTTGGTAACAAATTCTTGATTTTCGCATGTTTCAATGCATTGTTTTTTGTTTCTGTTGTTTCTTCGATCTGAAATAAAAGATTTTGCATTCAAATGGTTCAAGTTTATTATCACTTTTTTCAACCCGTAATCAGTGTTTTGCATTGATGGCATGGCTTATGTAATGAGTTAGTTCAATTACATAATAAGATTCTCTGAAAATTGGATTCTGTTGTCAGACAGACGAAAGGGACAAATTTCTAGCCAAGTACTTATTGGAAGAGTAATTAAATGAATGGTTGCTGCGCAGTACAGCTAGATAGGGAAACCTGGATAATGTAATCCCCTCAGTATTAACAGTTTCAAAATGTGACTGTGCCTCACCTCCTCGTGGACAGAGCCAATGGACGCATCGTGTCTAAGGGAAGAGTAGTTTTCTGCTGGGATATTTTTCCTCCCATCCATAGTCGTCCAGAACTTCTGGGGTCTGCGAGCTATTGAGTCTGCTGAAAATGACATGGCTTCTCCCGTTACTACTCCTCCTGAACCAGATGAATTGGAGTTCGACTGGCAATGCGGCTGAATGTCTCCGGCATTGAAAGAACTTGACTTTCCTATTCTGGTCCAGTTTTTAGAATGTCGTCGGAGTGGTACTTGAGAGTTGAGAGAAATGGAGGGGTCCAAGCTATACTCGAAGCCCGGGTTCACAAACGAACCTGATCCAGACTCACTTTCAAAGTCGGAGGCTTGTTCGCTTGCTAGCTTCGCCTCGAACAGATCTTCGTAACTGCGCGCGTCGCTCAGAGTCGTGTTGGAGCTTCCACACTCCTCCCGACTATTTCGCTTGGACTTGCTCAACTTTTGTGTCGAGTAGAATGCCAGAAGTTGATGAGGTATTGGGCCGCCTGCACTTGCACGCGTACGTGTTGGAATCTGTGGACTCTCTAGAGGTAAACTGAGGTTGTGATTGACGATTGTAGCTGTCAAGTGTGTGTCGGTTTCGTGTGGTCGTGGTCTAGCCATGTCGGAGCTGTTGGATCGCTGGAGGCTTGCTGATCCGCGGGTCGGAAGGCTGGCATTAGAGGTGGTGTCTGATAGCTGGATGTAGCCTTCTGCTGTCGTGCTGGAAGAGGTAGTTGAGTTCTGGGGTTGATGATGAGGATTGTGGCGTTGTGTGTTGAATGAGAAGGCTTGTCTGACAGGAGTCCTGTTATTTGAACCAGAAGTCATGCGAGGTGTTGTGGAGACGTATCTGTTTTGAAGGCTTGTCGTGTGCATCTCTGCAGTGCTGCCTGCATCTGACGAACTATTGCTAGACTTGGTCTCCCTGTTCAATATTGCAATACTGCTCATACTTGAGGGTGCCTGCTGGTACACAGCAAGGGGCGACCGAATCAAATCGTTTTCGCTTGTGATACTGCTTACTGAATCGCCAGCTGAAAATTCGGGAGCTGAGGGGTTTCGGTGAAACCTAATCGGACAACCTAGACGGTCATCACATGCTTCTAAAGATTTTTGTCTCTGAATTGAAATGGGTCGTCTAGGATCAGCTCCCGTGCCATAAGCATTTTGTCTTCTGTGATATGTGGTATTGCTTCGGTTTAGCCTTCGCTGGTACAATCTCATGTCTGTACCTGTAGTTGCCCGTGGAGGTACGGGAGGTACGTGAGATTGTGTTGGGTTGTTGCTAGCGGGAAAGAATGCCTGTTTGCTTGAGTTTGGCGGTAAAGGAGATGTCGGTGTTCCAGGTTGATCTGGAGTTGACAATGGGCTAATGGGGACTCGCGGAGGAATGGCTGGAACGTTTGTAGCACCATTTGTGGCTGGGGAATTGGAACTGTAATTTGAGTTTGCACTGTCTGAAGTTGCCAGTGTCGCGTCCTCGTAATTTGTGATTGGAGGAGAGGATGTTGTGGAGTCAAAATTGTTCGCTATGCTATCGCACATGCCTCGACTGATGCTGCCGCTGCTTGTCACTTGTGTCTTTGCTTTGGGTGTCATGATTCGTGGCAAGGTCCTGCACTCGATGTTTGCCTGGACATAGGAATCCCCTAAGTGCGCTTGGTGGTCAAATTGAGAGTCTACGCTGTTTGAGTAGCTTCCAGCCTGGAAGTACTTGGTGGGACTGGAGCCGGGTGCTATCATCTTGTTTGCTATCTCATTTCTCTTTTCTAAATAATGGTAGTAATAAGGGTTTGGAATAGATGCAAACGGATAACCTGTTTTCTCTAGACTAGTTTTCTTTGAACTATAGGCGGCGGCCAAAGAATGTGGAGAGCATTTTTGAGGCGGAGTGTTTTGCTTTATTTTATCGAAAGGAATCATTTTGCAGTTTGTTTCACGATTGGTGTTAAAATTTTAGTTTTATGAATCAGATAGGGCTTTGCGTAGTTAAACCTCTGATGTTCAATTGTTCACTTTCAATTCGAAAGTCGACTAGATGTTAGTTTTAAAAGTTTATTTGAATCGGTTAAATGTAGAAGCGCAGAGTGTTAGCTTGCAACGCCAGTAATCAGAGTAGATCGTTGTTATGAAAAGTCAAATTGAGAGCTCATTCCAAACTTTGTTTACTATTTGAACTAATTTGTTTTCTCTTGCTCACCCTTGACCACTGGGAGCAGATTTAAATCATTGTGTAGTTGTTTTGAATACTCCTTTTGGTAATGATGTTTTTTGATAAATATAGTGGTCTATTTGACTTCATTTAGACACCTAAGATTTAAATGCTTTAATTTTGTTTCATTGACAAATTTATTACATTTCCCCGGTTGTTAGTTAACTCAGCACGACTAGCAAATATTGCCAAATTTAAGATGATGGCCTTACTAGTGCAAGTTTTAGTTTGCTCACTCTGCAGATACTTTGAATTAAGAATAATTTGTTCAGAGAATGACAGAGGAAATAAGGTCTGCTATTTGAACCCCACTAACCGTCTGTGTACGTTTGTTTGCTCAGAAGGTTTTTGAGGAATTTGTTGGGGTTTTGCCTGCCCTGGGGGATTGCAGTGGGCGAGGTGGCTCCTCCCAATAACTGGGCCCGGTCATTAACTGCCACTGCTTGATCGGCAGCCATGGCTCTTTTGGTCTTGCTAACAACGCTGCCGCCGCCTGTATCTGAGACGCTTCTTTGGTGTCTGACTTCGTCCACTTCTGTCGCTCTGTTCGCCGGCGTGGACCCGCTTCGGTGAACGCCGATTGAAGCTGGATTGGACGGAGAAGGGGAAAGGGAGGGTGCTGTTATTCTGCCAGTTGAGATGTGACCGAGCTCTTCGATCCCAACCCCGGAACCCCCACAAGACGCAAATCGGGAATAGCCCTGGGTCTGCACGTGGCTGCTGGGAATAGTATCGGGATGAGAGCTGCAGCTTTGCGATGTTTGCCGACTTCGAGTTGGTGAGAAGGAGCCGCTTTGCTTCTCCTCATTTGATCGGTAGTTGGTGTTGGAGAATCCAGCAGACTCGCCTTCTGGTTCCTGCGTTGAACTGATGTTTTGATTTAGAGCGTCTGTTTGACGTTGTATTACATCACTTGGGGATAATGAGTCTGGTTGGTCATCTTGGTCGGGGTTGTGCAGAGGGAATCTCGATAGGTTGTTGGGCGAGTGGTTTAGTGATTCGGTGTTTTGAGGAGCGAGTAGCTCTCTCGTTTCGGCATTTCTTGTTTCTTCGCTCAATGAAAAGTCCTGTTCTCGGTTGAAGGGTTTGACTTGCACCACTTGTTTAATGTGTAAAGGTGGACCAGAGCTCGAATCCACGCGTAATCTGTAATGGACAAGGAAAAACACAATTTCGGGCTTCAATCAGCGTCGTTAATTGGTTCTATTTCTGGAAATGTTATCGGTCAAAGATTTTAAAAAAAGAGTAATTGTTTTCCAATTCTATAGAAAGCTTCTGTGAAAAAATTAAAACCAATATGTGTTTTCTTTGGTATTGATGTTTGGTTCGCTTTTCAATCAAACTAGATTTTTTCTGAATGTATTAAAAACCGAGTATAAAAACGCTCTCTGTTCATGCTTGGTGTGTGGTTTCAGCTCGCTGGCTAGCTTTTATTGTTTTTGGACGCCTTCGATTTTATACGTGAGTGTAGTACTGCCGCCGTAGACCAATGTAAGTCACAATGCAGTTCTGCGTGCTAAATTTATGAAAACAAAGCAATGATTGCTTCACAATTTTTAACAGTGAATTACGCTTATAAGGTAACTGTTCTTTTTTAAACTTCTTTGCTTTCAATTTTGCTTGTGACTATCGCGGCTGTTTTAAACTGGTCATTTTTCACTTCATTGTGGCTTTTCAAGCAGGACGCCTGACCATAAGCAGAAAGCTTATCATGTGTTGGTGTGCCACAATGTGTTAAGTTAGGCCAGTCTGTAATGCTGGCTAATTGACATTGTTCTGTGAGTATAGAGACGGTCGGCGGCAGAAGGCCACATCACATGCGTCTGGCTTGTTTCAAATTCTCAAAGTTAAATCTCCATCAGTCTCAGCTGTGCTGATGTTGCATCCAGTCCAGTAGCACAGAATGTTCCGACAATATTCATAAAAATTACGAAGAAAAGTTCTTCAAATTATTAAGCTCTTGAAATTAGTGTCGTTTTTTGTACGTGGTGTGATGATAAAACTAAACACACGCGTAAAAATTTGGTATAAAGGCTTAATCGACAACGGTTGTCTTCAAAAAAAGTAATAACAAGCAAAAAATGAAACAGTTAAATTAAAAAAAAATTGCGAAGTCCTGACCATAACAACCAAAAAGTAGAACTTAGTCGTATTTACACTTGCCAAATCAAAAGTTGTAATCAATAATTTGTTGTAATCAAGAATTTTTCATATTAAACAAGTTTTCTTACTAATGGGCAGGGGCGGATTTAGGTGGAAGGGGCGGACGCCACCCCCCTCAGGGATTCGACCCCCTGCCGACCCAAAGAGTCCCCCCTTTGGTACTTTTTAAGAAATCCATTTTTGGCTGACTGACTCTAAAGTTTTTCTAAAGGCGCCTTTGGCGCCAATATGTACTAACTTTGAGGGGAAGCGCGCGCCAAAAACAACGCGGCGCAGAAAATTTGGTCAAAACAGCGTCTTTTAGTATTTTAGAAGAGCTCGGAAAATCAATTTTGTCGTAAAAGTTCTTCGAAATTTTCTTTTTTTTTGCAAATCCGCCCCCTGTTACAGAATTTACTCGTGATCATTCATTTCACAGTTCCGCGGAAAAAGCAAACAATAAACAATCTAAATTTTCACCACAAATTTGATGAATTTTTGTAGCAAATAGATATGCCCAATAAATGCTTTTTAATTCTTTTCACCAAATTGCGAAAAGTCACCAAAATTGGCAGAAAAATTGCTAAAAGCTGACTGAAGAAAGTTTTTAATTTCTAATGAAAAATTTATATAATTTCAGAAAAAAATTAAATTGATGTCAACAATTTTTCAAATTTTCTTAAACAATTTTAATTTGAATTTCAATTTTTATTTATTTAAATGGACATCACTGCGTGTGGAGATAAACTTCCCCTAATGTCGGTACAGCGTCTAATTACCCATGATCTGCAAAGAGTGCACATAATCGAATTTCTGTCTGCTCTGGTGTTCGAAAGGTCTGCTGATCGAGTCACGGCTGGATTTTTTCACCATGAATATATGATTCCGTTTTTGTTCCACCTTTTAAAATGGGGAGGAACTTTGTGTTCAGATGTTTTAGTTTTTTTCTATGCAAAAGCAGGTGCCACAAAAAAATCATTGGATTGGATCTAGTGATTTATCATACGACCTTGATTCAAACTACCTTGAAAATTTGAAAAAGTTGTCCAAGTGTCGAGAAATTTTTTTTGAGTTTTTAGTCTAATTTCGAGCGATCGAGTAGCGTTGAGTATATGAAAGTAAGGATAAGAAAGTGTGGTTTTAGTTCAAAGGAAAATTAATTTGAAAGCTTCATTTAGCGCTTCCTTGGCAATAAATGTTTTCCAAACTGTTTTCAAAATTATTTTGCAAAGAAATAAGATTTTTTTTTTTAAATATTTATTTTGGTCATTCATTTTTTGAAAACAAAAGTTGTCGATTAACAAATGTTGTGAAAACATTCATTAATTTTTGAGGCATTTGTATAGTTCTCTCCACACCATATAATAAAAACGACACTAATTTGAAGAAAAGACCTTTTTGAAGCTTTTTTTAAGGGGTCGGAACAATCTTGTGCTACTTGCACAGCAACCAAAATTCTTGCTCAAAGTATGTTGTCAAAATATCCCTTTTTTATGTTCAGTGGTTTTTGATAGGGTTGAAACTCGCATCTGTGTAGAGAGCTATGTTCAAAATATGAGATCATGACGCGTATTTTTTGCTCGCAACAATCCTAACTGTCATGGATTCATACCCTCGTTGTTGTGAAGAAGGAAAATGATGGTTTGCAAAAGGGAATGCACTTTGTTGGTTGTTGTGTAAATTGTGGCGAGGAAGAGGAGTGTTGTTGTAGTTGGTTGATCCGTATGGTGGCCCTAGCGAGTAGTCGTCTTCCGAATGGAAAGCGCTCACTTCAGTAAGTGCCACACTGGACTCTGCTTCGTCGTAATCTACTTCGCTCTCTCCTCTCAGCGGCAACTGGCTTCTCCTGGGATGTCGCGAGGTCACTATTGCGGCGCTTACGCTATTGAGTCGTGATGCGGTGGGAGTGGGGGTGGTGGCCGTAGTAGTACCAGGAGTACTTTCTCGGTCGTGCCTCCGCTGAATGAGTTGTCGTTCTGTTGATTGCGGTGGCCGACAAGCCAATGATTGAGGTCTGAAATGAAAGCTAACTGACGGTGAGATATTTTTTAATGACAGTCAAGTGCAATTTAGGCGTAGGATTTTTCTCTTTGATCCAAGGGCGAGATATATTTAAACGTGGATCAATGCATTCTTTTTATGGCAGTAGCCTTTAATGACAAGCATTTGTGCCTCGCATGTAGGCAGCTTTTATGGCATATCAGTCTGTTATCTTCTTTGGATAAAAGGTGTAATAAAGTGCTGTTTTTTTTAGCAGGTTAAGACTATAAGCAAAATCTGATAATTTTTGGTGGCAAATTTTAAAATTTTATAACCTATCCATTGTATTTCGCAACAATTTTTAAGAGTCGTAGTTCAGGCTCTTGTATCGGTCGCGATGATTTTTTTCTTTTTTGTTTTCAGGAAAAATCTTAAAATTTGCTCAGGCTCAAATTCACTTTCTTTCGCGGTTTGGTTTTCGATTTCTTTTCAAGTTCGTGTCATTTCCTTTGTAAAAAGGAAAGCAAACTCCACTATCGAACAGCAAAAGTGTTAAAGTCACTAAAAAACGTGATTGACTTTTAGTTTGGAAGGTGGAGTTTAATTTTCAGATTTCCCAGCGAAATAAAAAACTTACTTTTGATTCAATTTTTTCAAATTATGTCAATTTTATCGAAAAAATAACAACCATAAATTGTCCTAGAAATTCAAAGAGCTTTAAGGGCATCTATGTTTTTCTTGAAATTCGATAAGTCAGTATTTTTTTCTGTTTAATTGCGTTCATTGACTCTTTTCCAACTGTCTGTTGGCTACGTTTTTTATTCGGAATTGTTATTTGAAATTGAAAATCCGAAGTTTAGTTTGACGAACCGGTGCTGCGTGGATAAAGTGTTTGTTTTGACAGAGTAGTCGTGGCTGGAGTTGTAGTTGATGTTGCGCTGTCTGATCTCTTCTTCTAGCCGCTGTACATCTATGTTGGCGGTTGTATGGGAGGGCTTGAATGTGCCCACCTCTCCCCTCTGGTTCACGCCCTTCCACTGAGAAAATGCCCTAGAAATGAAGGAATAAATACAAATACGGTTTTTTGTTGTGCTCTTGCTTTTGTTAAAATCGTCTTTGAACCAGAACACAAGACCACAATTGACTTGTTGCACAGAAATATGATTTTTTTTCCTAGAAGACAAACAATTTTATTCAATTTTTTGAATTTTCTGATTTTTTTTGAACTTAAAACCTAATCAAACTTTTGTGTTAAGCTTTGCAGGAATTTTTTAAGCTTTGCAAGATAAATGTGTTATCTTCAGATATTGAATGGCTTCAAATGAACATGATTCGAGACGCGCATACAAATACAGAGGCTACTCCAACTCAAGTAACAACCACTCGAATAACTCGGGTAGAAACATTCGCAGGATCAGTTACCAACATGCTTCTCAGAGTCAAGAAGAGTATACCAACCCCCCTTCAGAAGCAGCGGACGAACCAAGAAGCTATTTCGCGGCCGCGCGCCATCCACCTGCGCAGCATCGGAGTGGCAACTATCAGCAACAGAGCAGCTACCCGCAGCCTCAGTACAACTGTGATGCATGGGCTAGTTATGGAACAAGTGAAAGACCGTCGCCCAGCGTGCAACACAATGCGAGTGTTGTTTCGAACCCTGTAGCAGTTAACCAAGAAATACTTTCTGGTCCCTCTGTGAGTGCCTATCAAAGTCGCAACCATTCTGCAATAGTAAGTCAAGTGCCAATGTCTTCTAGCTTTAGCAATAGTTCGATTTCTGTGCCGCCGTCGACGCCTGTTTCACTCGCCAACATGGTAGGATCTGCTCTGAGCAACGTCGGGCAGCAACCCATAATAAACCTTATCGACCCGAATTCTTTCAACTTAGCGGCGGCCGCTGCTTCTGCTCCGTTTGGGTCTTTTTACGGTGGCCAGTTGCAGACTCCCTTAACTGGTTCTTCTCTGTCTGTGGGGGGTATGTCTCTGTATCCTTATATGGACCCTATGATGACGTCAGCGCTGGCCTTTCAGCAGCAACAAAAGCATCAGCAGCAGTTGGCTGCTGTGGCTAGTATGAATAGCAGTTATCAGCAGTACTGCAATCTACTGTATGATGCAATTATGAGCACGTTTCCGAGGAGCATCAACCAAGTGGTTCCTACTCAGACGCCATTCGGGTTGTTGCCTCCGCCCTGGATGGTGTACAACATGAGTATCAGCAACACCTCAACTGCTGCTATGGCCAACTACTTCCCACCCATGACTCCTGCAGGTCACTATTACAATAATATTGCCCCCCCTCCTCCCTCCATATTTACGCTCATGCCCCTTAGAATTTAAACGATCAAGAAGTGAATGAAAAACACAAGGCAGAGTAAAGGTTGATTACGAAAAATTTAGACCTGTTTGCTTCAGCGAATGAGCAGTATGAATAAAATCAAAGCTTACACACTAGCATTTTGTGTGGGGAAGCAGACCGGATATGATAATTGTATACATATTTTTTATTGATGATCCTCATGAATTCTGATTTTCAGCAGCTTGATTTTTATACGGAAAGCGCGTTTAAATCTGGATACGTTAAACGGAACTGAACAGTAAGTTGTAAGTATAGTAATGTTTCCTTGTGTGACTACTCATACTGATGTCGTCATCTCATCTCTTGTGGCTTTGTGATCCTGTCCTTGTGATCCTGTTCGTTCATGGATCACTTTGCAATTTTAAACTACATCATTAATATATCACTTAGCTGACTGTTCCTAGTTCATTTTTAGCTGTAGTGTCTTTTAGTGTGATGTGTGTCATGTCATGTCATGTCAAGTGAAAGCAAGTCAGTCTAAGCTAACTAAAAGAGCACGGCACAGGTTGCATCCCTCTTTCAACACTTTCTGTTTCCGCATATTGGGTTCACATTTCATTTCTACTTTTCATATTCATTTCAGTTCTCGTCTTTACAACTAAATGATTGAATGTGCCGAATTGACCCTTGCATATAATACAATACATCAATCTATTACTCTAAACATCTCTTACTTCAAAGTGTTAAATGGCCAGGCTTTTCAGATGCCGTAAAATAATTCTACAGATGGAAGAACATTTAAGTCCTGATTCCATATTTTTTCAGTAAGTTGGTTCATCCGTAGTAATTTTTACCCTTTTCCAAATTTAACTATATTCAAAGGCAATGCTTGTGTTATAATACAAGTCCACTTTTTTCCCTATCATTTTAGCTTTTTTGTGCTGTTTCTGCGTGCAGTTTAGTTTACCAATTTCGAATAGCTAGAGCTGTACTCGCTTACTTCAAGAGCATGTGGTTGTACTTATGGTAAGTAAGTCGAGATGGAGTACTTTTCGGTTTTTGTTCCGACTTTCGAAGAAAATGCGGAATATTTATGCTTGATGCGTTTTTATTCAATCGTTTTTAGATTTTTTAAGTAATTGTTTTTGGATGGGGTCTTTTTTACCATTTGAAAGATATTGTTGCATGGAGATCAAATGCAAATTTTAATTTATATGTGACCTTTTTTTGTAAAGTTATGGGGTTTAAAAATTGCTAATTTGGCGGATTTGCGATAATTAACGTGCGATACATTGCGTCCTTGTAACACGTGTAAACGGCTATTAAATCATTAATAATTGAATTTAGGCAAGAAATTTGGTCTTATTTGTTAGGGTAGGAATCACTAACGTCAATCCTTCGTACTTACCTTAGCATGTTTCAATTATTTTTATCAGTTTTTCAAGCAGAACTTTCTAATTGGTCATTAAGTGCAGTCGGGAACATTCAGGGCTTCGCCCTTATATACGATCAGGCTTTTTGGTTTTAGTTTTAAGCAGTAAATTCAACTGAAATGATAGTGTATTGCATTTGACAATGACGAGTTGTAGTTCTGCCGAAAACTATGTTCTAGTTCTGCCGAAAACTTAAGGTGTCAATCAGTTAAAAGGAGAAGCTTTTTAGAAGCGTTAGTGTATTAGTTACGAAGCTTATTTTTTTCTAAGCTAACTCGCAAATAAAATGTTCATTAAAAGTGTTAATTTATTGATGACATTTTTGCTATAATCACGAGCTGTGGCATTGGACGAGCTGCTTTAATTGTGATTTATTAAGCGTCTGTGACTGAGTGGTTAGTACGCGAGACTGTTAATCTCTATGTCGCAGATCGAATCCGAGAGCCAAATTTTTAATAATTGGAGGCTTATTTCTTTTTCTCTTATTGCTTTTTTAAAGAGCTGCTTTTTGTTGTGTTCTCGCTAGTGTGTGCGAAAGGCAGCTTTGCCTCTGTGTATCAATTTCTTTCGACTCAATTTTTCACACTTGATGTTGTCCAATTTTATGGTTTTTCAATGTTTGCTTACCAAAAACTATTCCTTACTGATTTTGTACTGGTCAGAACATTCCCTACCTGAATGTACTGGTCAGAACATTCAGGTCTCTGCGCTGATAAGCGAGCATTTTGTATCAAATTAGTTCGATTTTTATCAAAGTTCTAATCATGAAAGATTTTGGAAATTCGAAAGCATGATTTTACTCAGAACTAAGACAACAAAGGAAAGGTTGTAGGGATTTGACCTTGAAAACGGATTTTTTGGGCTTTCTTTTAGGCTCTTTTTCCCAAGTGGGTAGGCTCCTTTCCCTATTATTCCGAATGAAACGTCCTTTTAGTCGTCTTTAAATTAGTGTTATTGAGCTTAACGAAGTCAAGAGCGAAAAGCGTCTCTTTCACTTGAGTCTTTAAGCGAGTCTTTAACCTTTATACTCTTCAGAACATGCGCCATTTGCTCAATGACATTTAACTTTCTTATCGACAACATTCCATGCGGAAAAGGGTCTTTTTGTACTGTCGTTTTTATTTGTTGTTACTGTCTATCAACTGGTAAAGCAAATTAACCTTATGCCTGAAATTAATTCATTGCATCCAAGAAAAATATAACCGCGTAAATATCGTGTTTCAGCAAACGCAGCAGCTGCAATGCAGTACAAACCAACTTTGCCGAAGACCTCGCAGATAAACTACATTACAAATGTAAAGCCAAAAGCATCCAATGTTTCCCATCCGATCGTAAAAATTGAGCCAGTAAGTAGCTACGGGGAGCCAAATACTGTTGCAACGAAAAATGCTGAAGTTAAATGGTCCATCGAAAGACCACATGTCACTTCGACAAGTGTCGCCGAATCGAACACAAGAATGGCCAGCTCAACTGGTCGCGTAGAAAATCAGCGGGGGGCAATATCTCCGAGAGAGTTTCTGTTGGACCATACGAGCAACGAAACGGGTAGACAAAATGAAATGATGGAAGAAGCGGGATCTGTTAATGATCACAGCGAACTCGCAAAGTTGACAGTCGGATCTCGGAGCACCTCGGGTAATAGTGCGTTCTTGGCGCCTAAAGACTTCGCGTCTGAGTTTTTGGCAGAAACAGGAAACGACGGTGACAGCTGTAGCTCTTCCTCCGTACAGCCGCCGCAGTCGAATCGGAAACGGTCCTTAGTTGAAAGCAACAACAATGCGAACTGCACTATTCCAACTGATTCAGCCACCGGAACTGGTCGAAGAAACAAGGAGCCGCGGCTCGACGTCATAGAGGGAGGAATTAACTCTTCTCCTCATTCTCTGGACGTTAAGCAGGAACCGGGAGATATATAGAACATGTAGATGATGGTCATTGAATGGCCCCGTTTCAATGCGGATTCTTTGAGACTTCTCGTTGAGAAGAATTAAATTAAAGTAAACGTTAAAAACCGACAGAAACTATACAATGTGCAATTTGTTTAATAGTGGCTCTTCTGCCGTAAATACGTAATAGCAATGATGAGGAGAGAGAGTTATGATGTCTCTCTTTCTCTTATATTTCTAGTTTATTGTTTATGTCTGCAATGATGAGTAAATAAATGCTTAATAATTGAATTGACTCCTCTTACCTTTCTTCTAACACATAGATGACGTCGTTCACATTGAAGTTCAGCTCCTCTTCGTCCTGTCTGATGTAGTTCACCTTAGCTTTCACTGTTTGCGGAAAGAACTAAACAGCAGCACTGAATATATGTTTAGCGAGCTATAAATCTAAAAAAGTTTTAAAAAAAATGCAAAAACTCGAAAATAAAATAAAGAAAATGGAAGCAGGGCTTTTCGTAAAAAAATTTTTTGAGAGTCAAGCGGTGTGTCATTAATTTGTTGAACGTTTTTTTGACTTATTTCTACAGGGACCACAGTGATATTTCAACATGCAAATGGCACAGTGAACAGTTTTATTTCAAATCAAGAATTAGACTAATGCCTTGATACCACTTAAAGAATAAAGTCACTAGCATCCCAAAAAATACCAAGAAATTATAAGAAACTAATCTCCGTGCGAAAACGGTTACTAAATAATCCTTCGATTAATTTCAATTAGACTATCATTCAAGAAATTTTAATTGAGCCTAAACAGTCTATCGACAGCTTATTGTACAAAATAAGAGATTTTTATTTGATAGATTGAAGCTAATTTGACAAATTGTTTTTGTAATAAAGCCTTGAAGTTATTGGATCATAAATTTTACACCCGAAAAAAAATCATCGTATTAATTAAAGTCAAGCAATTAAAATCAAACATATTTTTCCTTAAAAAACCCAATAATAAGATGCTAGAGAAGTGAACTATTAAGAGTTCGATTTTTTTTTGCTTTGATATGCATTTTTTTCTGGATAAATAGTACAGGTTAAACAATCAGATCAAGATAAGATAGTATTTTACAGAAAATTCTCAGCATCGCTTCAACAGGTTGAATTACCTGCTGTGCTTGTTCAAGTGGCTGCTATTTCAATGATAACTTTTTTATATTATTGTATCATTGCACAAATTGAAACAAATTTATTATTTACTATTTAAAGCTTTATTTAGATTAGCCATATTTAAATAGGAGAGCTTTTGATTTTTCGCAGTTTAACTATTGAGTTCTTAACTATCGTAATTTCTCTAATTGCAAATGTGGAAATGTCGCGAAAAAGTGGTAGACTTTGTTTCGCAAGTGGTTTATTAACATTACTTATCACAGCAGAATCAAAAATACGTTTTGATCCAGTTTTCTTAACAAGTCTGTTTTATTTAAAAATGAAAGAATCCTGAACTTCAAAAAGCTTACAGAAGACCGAAATTTTTTCTTTGGAACTCAGAAATTTAATTATTCGTGGTCTCCTTGATTTCATTGTCACTTCAAAAATCTTCTTGGCTATGAATGTCTATCTTGTTTTCTAACCGCACTTGATCTACGAATAATGTGAAATTAGTCTTACTTTTGGGAGCAGCTGTGTGATTTGGGCGAAGGTGGGTCTTTCTTGTGGGTTGTGTTCCCAGCAGCGCATCATGAGTGAGTTGTACATCAAAGTGGGACATGAAAAGGGCTGTTCTAGTCTTCTGCAGTGGGGCAAATCTGTAATCTGGATGATCTCATTCCCATTCAGATCTCCCCATGGCTGAGCACCATAGCTGAACATCTCCCACAAGGTCACCCCGTACGCCCACACGTCACTCGCAGACGTGAATTTCAGGAAGTTCCCACACTCCGGCGCACACCTGAATTACATTGAGTGACATTGTGAGACAGTCAACCAACTCTCTACTACTACCTTCTCAGTCGCCGAACTTTTCCGAAGGGTTCCCCTGTGGTATAATTTAACGACATCCATTTTTTGCTCCCTCAAAATTTTGAGGGCGCCAATATGAATAATTTTGAGGTGCGAGCGCGTGCCGAAAGAACGCAATTTTTTGGTCAAAATTTTCCACAAAGTGCCTAAAAACGCCTTTTTTGGCCTGTTTCTTGAGAATTTTGCCTGTAGTTCTTCTTTTTTTACCTTCTGCCTTTTTACCTTCTACATTTTGCCTTTTACCTTCTTTTTTAGATCGACCAATTTGATTTTCCGAGCTCTCCGAAACTATTATAAGGACTTCTTTGTCAAACATTTTATAAAAAACATGCAAAAAAGGCGTTTTTGGGCAGTTATCGGAAAATTTTGCCAAAAATCGCGTTTTTTCGGCGCACGCTCCCCCCTTGAAATTAATTATATTGGCGCCTTAAGAACGTTTTTTTGAGGTTGGTCAGCCTAAAATGGATGTTGCTAAGTTATGCCAAAGGTGAGTCCCTTTGGAAAAATTTGGCATCCAGAATTGAGGGGGGAGGGACGGTCGCCCTCCCCCTTTGCACGCTATCGTTGCAATCTATTACAGCAAACTGCTCTGCGATGAACTGTTGTTTTTTGAAATGCTGCCAATTGTTGCTCACGAGGATTTGTCGCCTTAAAGTGCAAGTTAATCAGCTCGGAAGATGTTGCCGCAACAAACTTGTCTTAAAATAAAATTTAATTAGCTTTACGATCAGCAAATTGAATGCAACCGGGTACAACAATGTTATCTAGCATAGCCTTACTCAAATAACGCTTCAGCTGATGGGCGGATCTAGGATTTTCTTGAGAGGGGGAGGGGGTTTTAAAAAAAACGAAAATTTTGTCGACCTTGTTTAGGTCGACCAAATTGTTTTTCTGAGCTCTTCCAAGTCACTATAAGGACCCCATTAGGACCACATGTTCTGCGCCGCAGGCAAGTTTTTTTTTAAATAAAAAAAGCGTTTGTAGGGGGTCGAATCCTTGAAAAAGGAAAAGTCCGACACACAAACACAACCCCCCCCCCACCCCAAATCCGCTGGTGCTTGAGCTAATGGTTATACTCTTTCTTAATTAAAATCTTTCAGTGGAAAAAATTTTTTTTTGGCTTAGTGTTTTCGACCAAAGTTCATCGGCTTTGTCGCTCCCCATTTTTGTGGTCTTAAGAGAATTCAAGTTTGATTCTAAATGGTTGGATTAATGCCGTTGTACTATTTTATTGAAAGTATTTAGTTTCGTCTAGCAACTAAGTTTAACAATAAGTTAGAATCTGTGCCAAAATTCTATCTTTCATTTCAATAGGTGTTATTGATGAGATACCAGTGTTAGCATAAGCTAAGATTGCATATTGCAGATTTGGTTGAGTGTTAACTTTGAACGCTGTGATCATTTGTTCTAGGATAAGTGATTGGGTACTTGATAAAAGAGTTCAGAGAACTGAAGCATGCGGTTTCTGATTTTTTAAATTTAATTACGATATTTTAGATTCGAATCTAGAAGAACGCCCAATTGCCTAAAGCATCAAAGCTCTTCTAGTAATTGTCCCTGTTTTTCAGATGGTCTTTAGTTAGACATGGTTTTCTAACGAAGATAACTGTTTTTGTCTTTTTGTTATTCAAATTAAATTTTTTCTCTTCAAGCCATGCGTTTGCTTTGTCTAAGTTTCTCCGATCCTAATCTCTAGATTGTGTGCTCTTTCTCAAGACTCTGTCATTGCAAAAAAAAACAAGTGGGTTGTTGGATTGTTCAATGGCCAATAGATCATTGAGGTAAAAGATGAAAAGCAAAATTTCCTAATTTGAACCCTGTTGCGCCCCTTTTTGTTCAAATTTTCGTTTTGTTTTTTTTTTGTATCAAATTATTTTGGTACTGTTTGCAAATTTTAAGTACAAATTAAGAAGTTGATGAACTGGCTCGCTAAAACCAAAACTATGAAGTTGAATCAGAAGTGCTGATTGATCTATTGTATCAAAGTTTTCAAGTCGGGGAAAGTTCGTTGGGCTTGTGTCTTGGTTTTTTACGTCTTTCTCTGTCTTCAATTAGAATCACAAATGCGTCTGGATTTGATTGTATCTCACAGAATTCAAATTGGTCTTTGAAAAGAAGTTAGAAATATTCATTTAATTTTTTCTTACGAATACATACTACCCTTCGAAATCCTTTCCAACTATTGGAAGAAGTGAGAATTACCAAAAATTGTTAGGGTTTTCTCCGCCTGTATAGATTGGCCTTTTATTGGCTACACTTATGCTTTTTGGAAGCTTACCAAAAAAAAACATTTCATTGAACATCAACTCTAATGGCTCTGCATTCGAGTCTTCTAGGTGTTTAATGAAACGGAAATTGTACTGTACCAAACAATAGTGTATTGCTTTTGGATTGTTTCATAACTTTTGCAGTTTATTGCGTTCAAATTTTCGGAACACGGTGTGATGTTTTTTGAGAACGTTTTCTTGATGGTTTCGGGAATGAATTTTGCCATTTACTGCCGGTTGATGCAAAGAGTTTGTTAAATCATTCGATTTTTTGTCGCGAAACTGTTACTTGCAGAAATTTACATTTGTTTTCAAATCCTTCAGCGTTTTAAAACAGTTGAATTTTTTAAAAGGATGACGGTAATATCTTTTATAGTTTTGATCAAAATCCCGTTTTTTCCTAAATACCAACTTTTAAACCATTTTAGCTTTAGTTGCTGGGCTATTTTGATCATGAAAGTTTTTGACTTCTTGTTTTTTCCAGTGTCAATCCAGAATTTGTGTTTGCAAAGTCCAGAAAATTGTGGAGGAAAAATTTTTTCAAATGAATTACTTAGCAAAATATTTAGACTGAGAATGCAGGTCATGGTGTTAAATTTTATATTCTCTCTGTTGCGTTTGAACTGGTGTTTCATATAGAAAGACATTTGTTTGCCCAATTTTATTTTTTGAAGTCATTTGCAGCGTCGATTATACTTTTTTCTGACTCAAAGTCAATATCTTGTTTAGTTTCAGCTGTAAGTGTACATCATTTTGATCTGATATGACATTGTTCTCAATTATTTCACACCTACCCCGAAAGAAGGAGAATAACAAATCAAGAACTATTTTGTTGTATTCGTTTTCACGGGCGGCTTGTTCATTATTTTGCAAGCTGTTTTTGTTTCCTGCCGTTATATCTTTTAGTTTAATTGACTTTTGGATCATAATAGCAAAATTAATATCAGCGCATCCCCAGATTTTATATTGGTTGCATAGATCAGCCAATAAACTGTCCACAATGTTTTCTAGTTTGCTCAACATTTTGTCATTTACAGAATTTGGAGGAACATATTTGGAGGAAGTTCGCTGAAAATATTCTCACTTTGAGAGATTTTCTCAGAACTGACAAAACTTGGATGAAACTTTCTGCAGAAAACTTGACATATGTCACTTGAACGTTTTTTCTTAAAAAAAACATAGCTAATCCATTGCCTCTTTTTGTACGCGGACAGCTTATAAGAGGCTGTTAGCCATCAATAGTGAAAAAAAATTTAATCAGTTTTGAGCCAGGTTTCAGTCACAAAAAATAGGGTTGTTTTTCAATGTCTGCTTTGAATAAGTAGTTCTAATTGATCGAACTTTCGTAAAAAGATCTTATATTTTGTGAAAGCAAGGAAAAAGGTTCATTACGTCTCGATTGTTTTTATTGTCCATGTCAGGTTTTTGTAAGGAATGTTCGAAAGAAACGTTTATGCTGTTCACTTATTGTACATCAAGGAGAAAGCAAAGCAACCGCTTGGAATTTTTTTTTGCTATGGTTGTTTTTTTAATACTTGAAATAATACTTTCACTGCAACAATCAAATTGGCTAAGCTTTATTGTGGACAAAAAAGGTTATAATATTGAAAAAATAAACTGACAGATAATTGTAAAAATTCAAAGACTGTTGGTTTCTTGTTTTAGCCAGCAGAAATCACTAAGTTTAAACTAACAACCTGTCTCAGATGTTAATTTTGCTTTTGATTTCGGAAATCACAGTGGTCAAGCTCACAATCATTTAGAAAAAAAACAATCAGAAACCACCAAGTTTTTTCCAGTAACGATATGAAAAATTTGGCTCCAGTGTTATTATTATGTTTTAACCTAAGAACAAACCCAAAAAAGAATGAAATACAACGATAAATATATTTAAGGGCTGAAAACAATTTGAAGTGCTAACCAACCTAATCTCGATCTTATTTAATCAATAGATTTCTAATCAAAGTGCACAGTACTTATTTATGGGCTTCACGTCAAAAAATTCCATGGAAGGGTTATTTTACTATCCGTTTTCCACTTGAAAGCCAAGCAAAATAATCAAATTCAGTCTGACAAAATGTCATGAAATAAGTCAACTTCTGTCATAAATTAATGCCAAAGGCGGAATCTTTTGTTCGTGAGGGGGTCGAATCAATGAGGTGGGGGGGGGGGGGGGGGGGGAGGGGGGCTAGTACTGCCCCTGGTTCGATAATATGACGCTTAATAGTTGGACTTGAGTTTGTGGAAACTGTGATGGTTATTCAATCGTTGCTGGATGAATAGTTGACAGCTGTTTGAACAAATTCTTCAAAGAATGAGGTAGTTGTGAAATAAACATTGACTCGACTCGACCTTTGACAAGTGGTAAATGGTGAATAACAATAATTTATTGGTGGGTATTGTTGAATCAATCATACAATTAAGTGTCTGATAACAAACAAACCTGAATGCTTTGATTATAAAAAGAAAGTGACACAATAATCGAAGAAAGAATAGTTCATCTTGACTTTCAGTTTAAAAAAGATAGTGTATAATAACTTCAGATAACCTCTAAGTCAGCTTTGATCATTAATAAGTTCAATCTTCAAATTTAAACGTCTTCATGATGGGCGCTATAGGAGTATGCTAGTTAAATTGTTTCTCGACAATAGTTTTTTTTATCTCTTACTTATTTATTCTGAATCGAAGAAAATTAGAACTATTGATTTAAAGTTGATATATTATAATCGTAGATAAAATGCTGACCTTAGTACTGTTTTATGCCACGAATCTAGTGAACAAAAAGCTTGAGAAAAAGTTTTTTTTTTCAATTTTTTTATATTAATTGATTGGTCATTTTTAAATTAATGAAAAAGCATCCTATGGCACCAACAAAAACAAATCTCATCGGAAGTTTTTAGTAAATTAGAGTAAGAGTATATTGCTTTGTGTCTGCCCCAAATTTTGATCAAACACAAAAAATAATAGCTTCACTCAAATTTCACTTCAAAACTTCTGATGAGATTTGGAGTCATAAAATAATCCAAAAAACGAAAAAACTTGAAGCGTTTTGTGAAAAATATCTCGAATAGAATGAAGCGTTTTGTGAAAAATGTTTTTGATCATAAGGATCTCTCAAAAACTATTTTTTTTTGGAGATAAATCTTAGAAAAAGCTTGGGAAAAGTTTTCACATTTTTTGGTCTATTTGATTCATTATTTGAGGATAATGAAGAAGCATCCTAAGACATCCTAAGTAATTTTTTGAGCATTTCATCAAAATATATGTTTTGCCTGATTGAACTGATGCTCTTTGCCATGGTAGACATTGAGTGAACATATGACAAGCCCTCGAATATACAAGCCTCCTATTTTCTCTAATTTATTTTATCTGATGAATACTTTCAAAACTTTGAATTTTCTTTGTATCATTAATTATCTGTTAGCTGGTATTTATTGGAAAAATAAGTTATTTCCTTCATACTAGGAAATGTACATAAATGTAAATTTTTCACCACATAAGATAGAAAAAAATCGCCTGAATATGCAACTAATTTGGTCATGTTTTTTTACTTTTAAACTATCTTTCAATATTGATATTGTAAATTTTTCAGTTATCACTAACGTTCAATTATTTTAAACGCAGGCATCTCTCCAGAAGTTTTGTACTGGCTGAGAAGTGACGTCTTTCTCTAGCCCTTGGTAGATTGGTTAAAATTCTTTCAACAGTATCTTCTGGATGATTTATTATTTACTGCAATAATAAAATTTATTCGTTGAAAAATGGTCGCAAAACGCCGGTTAAACAAGTCTAATTCAATTAGTATTGTTGATGTAATCCTTGCGATAAACCAGGGTAATGCAACCGGGAGCGGGATTTTTATCGTAAATAACATTGTACACAGAATGGCGAATATTAAAAATGGTAAGCTTACTAAAATACCACCTTCATCTACCGCCTATATATGCTTACAGGTACTAGATGCAAAATCTTGCTATGATTTTTTGCCAACCGAAAATTTTTTGAAAAATTTTCAGCTTAATGAGCGACTACTTAGTTACCCAATGTTCTTTTCTATTAATGTCAGGGCACTTATTTGAAAAAAAAAAACTTTTTTTATCTTCGACAATGTTATAACCTTTTTCGACTCATTGGTTTTTGTTTCCTTTTCTTTGAGCTATCTGTCGTTCTATGTTTCTGTTGTATCGCAAGTGTTGCGAAGCTCCGCTTCGCCTCTGTTTCGTACTTATAATTGGCAAGGATGATCAAAGTGGGCTCTTTTTCCATGTTATCAGTTTTGATAGTGAAGCATACTTTTTGGGTGATATGTTTTAATAGGTGGTAACTTTTAGTATTTTGCATGTAATAAATTTCAGAACTATAATGCATTATATAGTCAGTTTTTTTTCAATCAATTGTACATGCTGCTAAGATAGTTTTAGTAAATATATTACTCCGCCAGATAAAAGTTATTCAAAAACTCGAATTTTCCACTTCTTTTGCCGAAAATTTGGCTTTTGAAATAAAATCTAATTACTGTGCGAAGTATAACAAAAAGCAATCCAGCTATTTAACTTAAAGTTACCACCTATTGTAATGTATCACCACTTTTTTGATGCACTTAGTGATATTTGAACGTAGTGTAAAATAGTAGTTCAAGTCAGGTGAAGTTATGTGAAAATAATATGAAGATGTATAATGCATAGGATTGCATTTAATAGAAGTTTTCCGTGACAAATTGTAGACTATTCTATTAGTAAGAACTGAGCACTATCTTTTGCTGACTGGGTGCCGGCTTTAGTTAAATTCAGTCTTTTAATTTTTCTTTTTTTTTCTGCTGGCCTTTAATTTCAGTTTGATTGTGTTCTCTGAAAAATTTCATCGCAAAAAGTCATATAAGATGTTCAACAATTTTTTTAATATCGCTGTTTCTAAAATCTCTAGACCAATCGGACAGCAGTCCCCGGACGCCCTCCCTAAAACGTGTTGTTTCTTACTGGTTCACCTTCAGAACCCCTCAAAAGTTTGTTTCTTTTTGCTCCCATCAATGAAAGTTATATTCGGGTGCTCCACAATTTTTTCCGCGCAATATTATTAGAATGGTCCGAGCGATATAGCATATAAAAGCCCTGGAAACCACGAGTCAGCCGAGATTTTAAATTTTCCGAAAACGTTTTCACTGAGTCGAGAAAAAGTGGTATCAAAAATGAGCAAGGCGAGCGAGTATAAGACAAACCCTGATTTAAGTTGTACAATTTTTAGGCACATCTGTAGAAACCAAGCAATTCGAAAGCTCTAAGAGTTAACGAACTTGAAGATATTTAAGAAGTTTGTTACCTCGCCTCTCCCCCTCAGGCATTCGACCCCCTGCCGACCCAAAGGCTGACGGATCCTCAAAATTTTCTGAAGGCGCCTTCGACGCCAATGCGCCAATATATACTAGTTCTTAGGGGAGATCGCGCGCCAAAAAAACGCAATTTTTTTGAAAATTTTCAAAAAAAAGTGCCTAAAAATTCTAAATTCTAAATTTTTCAGAGCTCAGAAAATCAATTTAGTCGACCTAAAAAATAAAAAGTCAACAAAATGTTGGAAACTTTTTGAAAATCAACAGCGAGTTCTACGACGATTTGGTCAGTACCATTTCCTTGGTAGGCGCAGGCTTGGTCACTTTTTAAAATCCTTTGTTCGATTTTGATTAAATTTTTGTTTCGCAATGATACTGAGGTCGGAATGGTCTTTTGATTGTATTAAGTTTGCGTAAGATTGCAGGAAATCACTTAAATGGAAAAAGTCGTCAAACAACAGCCAAGGACTTGGACAACCAAGGATACTTCTATCGTATGATACTATGATCGTGTCAGTGAAAGGTCTGAGCTTTATTAAAATGTTTTCCCATAACTTGTCATCGATTATCAATATTTTATTTCGATAGCTTGAACTCCTTAATAGAGACTTGAGTTTAAATGTGATGTATGGCCATGCCTGACAACTAGGATGTCTGTTAATCTTACTGTAGTTTGAACAACTAACTAAGTAACTAACCATGCGATGGGCAGTCGGAGGTTGGGTTTTATCTGGGTCTGGTAGTAGTCCTTGCCAGCAGACAGCACTCTGCTCAGCCCAAAGTCACTCACCTTCACCTAACACACATAAGGGGCTTGCAAGTAAAAACCAACCGACCGTGCACTGTCAGAAGTTATGCCAGATGTATACTTTCCAATTAATTAATGTAGATCAAAGTATGTCGTGACAAAACTCATCTCATGCATTGAGTAGTTTTGTCAACAATTTTAGGTTGTTTAGATTGTGAATTTTAAGCAATTCTGACAGTTTGAGTGAACGTTATGGACTAACGAGAATGTGCGGTGATAGTTTCTGGAATGATGTGAACTTTTGATGTTATCAATATAATTTGTAGCTGTAGTTGCAGTCGTGATAGGAAGTGGTTTTTGGCCTTACGAGGTCGTGTCGGAAGACGAGGATGTTTCTGGCGGCCAGATCTCTGTGGATGTATCTCTTCTTCTCCAGATACTCCATCCCTTCACAAATCTGGGCTGCGAAGAGACACAGCCTGTCCACTGTGAATGACAGCCACTGCATGCCAGCGTCATTAACTAGTGCTTCCAGCAGAGAATGATCCTGAGCTAGCTCCGTCACCTGGTAGTGATGCAATTACGATTGAAAATTAGTTCATTATAAATAGCAAACTGTTCGTCGTTGCAAAGAAGACAAACTCGCCTAATTGCACTTAGTTACGTAATGTTTCTGCAATACCTTCGATAAAATACTTTTATATACATCTGAATGTATTTCAAGCTAGCGTTATTTTGACAAGGACGTTTTTGTGGCTGTTTTTGTCGGAGGTTTTCAGGATTTAGCTTTTTCCTCGAGGTTAATATTTTGGATTCGTCTCAAAATGAGCCTTTGATGAATTTTGTAGTCTTACTTTAGACAAGCAGTCTAAGCGAAAGAAGATTCAAGAACTATCAAGTATTTTCAAGTTTTTAAACTAATTTTAAATGTGTTTTTATCCGCTTTAATACTTGCTTTTGCTTGTTTTTGAAGTCCCTAATATGAAAGATGCATGTGCTAAGAGATAAAAAAAATATCAAGTTTCCTTTGAAAACGAAAGGTCTTCAATAGTTTTCCAGCTTTTCTTAGCTTATTCAATTCAGTTCGACCAAATTTTTTCGACCATTGAAAGTGAAGAGAAACTTTGTCTTCGGGGGTATTTTATTTTTAAAACTTTTTTCTCGCAAAATCAGATATCTCAAATAATTATCAGAATGGGTCGAGTAATATATCATAATAAATTTCTTTAGGTTGTGATTTGAACGGCATTAAAAATTTACAGAAAGCAGAATGTTCACTCAGTATTGAGAAAAACAGGTTTGTGATTTTCGTCTATATTCGGGCAATCGACGCAAAAGAGAAACGTTTGCTAGATAAAAGTTGGTTGTTTAAGCCACGAAATTATATTTTTATTCTAGAAAAACAAGTTGAAATACAACTTACAAGTTTTTGTCAACAAAGTTTTCGAAAAAATCTATAAAAATTTTCTGTACATCAAAAAAATCTCATTTTTTGAGTTTTGATATGCATTTTGTGAATTAATAAACCAAAAAATTTCTTACAAAAGAAAACCCACTGGTTAAAAGGCAGTAGTCTCAAAGGTAAATTGCATTCGAGTAATTGATTTCACTGAGAAACTTTAACAATTACCCTGTTTACGGCTAGAAAACTTTTCTTTACTTAATGCATGAAGCTCGTGGCCTTTTTTTGACATATCATACTTTATAAACATAATCAGTTTTGATTCTTTTCAAAACTTCATTGTAGATTACCTTTATAAAAACTGCTCAACTGCTCAAAATCACTCAATCCATTCCGATGGTTATTTAAGGTGCCTGATTTTGCGTGGAAAACAAAAAAAAAAAGAAGTAAAACACACCCGAATATAAAGATCTTCCCCTTTTTCAGTGGTTGGATCAAAATTGCTATGAATGTTTTTTGGTTTTATCTAAGTTGCATGATCAGCAATTTCTGTAACACTTTTGATTAAGATCAATGAATGAAAGCTCTACTGTGAATAGAGAATTAATCTGCAAAATTTAGAAATGATTTCGAAAAAGTGCTGAACAATTTTTTTTTGGTTTTTACTCAATTTTTCTAGACATTTGTAATCGATTGTTTAATTTATTTAATTTTTAAGCGTTCCTTTTTCCTCTCATCAAAACAATTTTCAAAATGGTCTGAATTTGAAAAAAAATGCAATATTTTTATGATTATAGTCGGAGCTTTCTGTGCTAATTGCACAGCAACATGTTTCTCTTATTTTAAATGGGCATGTATGGAAAAATCCATTTTAAGCAGTAAAACGTTTTTGTTCATTTTTTTTCTGTTCAATTTAACTAAAATAGAACAATGAAGTAACCATATTTTTTTATTACTTGTTTGCTGTTTTATTCAATAAATATATATGTTTTCGGCTGTATTGATTTCTGTGAGTTTGTATCGTCCTATCAAAAATATTCCTGATTTGCTTGTACACGAATTCAATTCAAAGACATGAATTTTCTCTGTTGTTATTCTCTTGAAAACGTAAGTTTCAATCAGTGCTGGTTCTTAAACAATTTTCAGCAGTCAGAGTATCAAGTCAATTGACTTTTTTGTTGTTGACTGGATTCCGACTGTTGCAGTTTTTGTTGAAGTTGAAGCAGGGGCGGATCTAGGATTTTCTCGAGGGGGGGGGCGGATTTTCAAAAAATTTTCCCCCTAAAAATTAGTATATATTGGCGCCAAAGGCGCCTTTAGAAAAGTTTTTGGGTCGGTCGGCCAAAAATGGATTTCTTAAAAAGCACCAAAGGGGGACCCTTTGGGTAAAAAGGGGGTCGAATCCCTGAGGGGGGGGGGGGGGAGGGGAGCGTCTGCCTCCCTCCGCCCCCGCCCCTAAATCCGCCCCTGAGTTGTAGTATTCTAAAACAAAGACAGGCAACAACAGTGCTTCTGCTCAACGAAAAATAAGATTAATTTTTTCTTCGCATTATTGCTCGTGGCAAAATAAAACAATGTGAAGCTTCAAAAGAAATTTTTGTAATTTTTGAAGCCTTTTTGTTTCCAGAACTTATCTCCGTTCTCAAACTTACCCTATTCCGAATGATCCTATGACCCTTTAACCTGGGTTTCAAATAAACCTATGCCATTTTACTCTCTGTCTCCCAAATTACTAACCCTATGACAGTTTATTTTTAAACGAATTATCTTGGAAACAGTAATGAGCCCGCGTCGGTTCATTTGAGGCCTGGATGCAGGAAACAATTGAGTCGTAGGATCGAATTATTTTTTATTAGGGCGCAATTCAGCTCGTTGTCTAAAAAATTACATGTATACAATGACCCAAATTTAATCCGCAATTTTTGTAAGTTCACGGCAGAATGAAAGCAAAACTGTTTCATTCTGACCAGTTCCTTATCTTAAATTAACTCTCAAAAAAGATCTAATTTATTTGATGATTTTACAGCGCAGTTCTCTGACTCTCACAATTATTGATAATGACAATATGTACAACTGAAAAGCAAGACATTAATGAAGCAAGACAAAATGTAACAGCTATCTAATGTAATAGCTCTGATTTGTTATCAATGGTCATAGCCAAGAAAGCTCTACACGACGATCCGACGCACGAACGCTCGCTCAGAAAATGAAAAAGTCTACCAAAACTAAGCAGGTACAGGTGAACAGCAGCATAACTGCAACCGGCTTGGAATCAGTTAAACATGAAAAAACCGTACACTCACTTTTGGCTTTTCGATCAACAAAAAGAAAACAGAATTGACAGAAAACAATAGTAAGAGTGTTCGCCCCTCCAATCGATGGTAAGCTTGTTGGAGTACATGAGCAGTTTGAAAGCAAACGTCTGGTTTTTCAGCGGCGGAATCGAAGATGCATAAAGCAGGCTCGTTTTTAGTGACAGCGACTCTGTGAATGCCTATGAGCTGAACGAGGGTTTTTTCATTTCTTCACAGTCCATATTCAATCAGCTGCTTGAATTGATGATGCCGAAAGAGTGCTCATTTTAGCAACCGCGTTAATATGAACACATTTTGGCTAAATCGAGCTTTATGATTTTGCGGTAGCACCTTTAAAACCTACCCAATGCAATCTAATCAACTCTATAGTCCACTCAATTATCTGGTTTAGCTTCTACATTTATGTTTTTCTTTCCAATAAACGTCAGCAAACATTCATTAAGTTTTTTGTTTCATTGGTGTTACAGTACTAACGTTCACTATTTTTTTTTTCAACTTTGAGCGAGCTGCTCTAACTGTTTTTCTTGTCTTTACCCAGGAGCACAGTTTAGAGGATGCTATCTTCAACTTACAGAGGCCGCTATCCACAAAATTATCAATAAAATTTGTTGTACAAAAATAACCCCAAGCTCAATTTGGCAGCACGACTTAATTTCACTTAGATTAATTTAAATTAGGCCTCTTAAGATTTTTTGAAAAAACTGGTTAAAAAGTTTTTGCGGAAACTAAACCTAATGAAATTTTGTTATACGATCGTTTAGATTTTATGCTTTTTGCTTTTCTTTCCAATAAACGTCAGCAAACATTCATTAAATTTTTTGTTTCATTGGTGTTACAGTACTAACGTTCACTATTTTTTTTTCAACTTTGAGCGAGCTGCTCTAACTGTTTTTCTTGTCTTTACCCAGGAGCACAGTTTAGAGGATGCTATCTTCAACTTACAGAGGCCGCTATCCACAAAATTATCAATAAAATTTGTTGTACAAAAATAACCCCAAGCTCAATTTGGCAGCACGACTTAATTTCACTTAGATTAATTTAAATTAGGCCTCTTAAGATTTTTTGAAAAAACTGGTTAAAAAGTTTTTGCGGAAACTAAACCTAATGAAATTTTGTTATACGATCGTTTAGATTTTTGAAGATTCTATTGTTTATTTTTCAATTTTTTCAATATTCAGTTTTTGTCAGAGCTGTCAAGATTCAAGAAGTTTCCAGTGGTCGGAACCATGATTGGATCAGCTATGTTTGTTTAAACAGTATGAAAGAAAAGATCAACCCTGATGAAGTTTGAGATAGTTGTTATAAAACGGCGATCATTTTTGAAATTTTTCGGGGTATTTTTCAGATCGCCGATTAAACTATGCTTCAAATTTATAAATTCATGCTTGAAAATTGTCTTACATGTTGCCAGGGGCGGATCTAGGATTTTCTCGAGGGGGGGGCGGATTTTCAAAAAATTTTTGACGACCTTTTTTTTTTTTTTAGGTCGACCAAATTGATTTTTGGAACTCTCCCAAAGCACGGTTTTGTCCCTATTTTGGCCAAATTTTTTGCGCCGCAGGCAAATTTTTGAAAAAACAGGTCAAAAAAGGCGTTTTTAGGCACTTTTTGAAAAATTTTGACGAAAAAAATCGCGTTTTTTTGGCGCGCGCTCCCCCTCAAAGCTAGTATATATTGGCGCCAAAGGCGCCTTTAGAAAAATTTAAGGGTCGGTCGGTAAAAAATTGATTTCTTAAAAAGTACCAAAGGGGGGACCCTTTGGGTCGGCAGGGGGTCGAATCCCTGAGGGAGGGGCGTCCGCCCCCCCCCCCCCCCCCCCCCTAAATCCGCCCCTGCATGTTGCGCATTTTGAGCAGATACATATCTCGCCACATTTTATAATCAATTCTGTATTGAATATTGTAAGGCTTACTGGTTTTGGTAAGCTTTTTATTATCGCGTATTTCATATTGACCATACATTCTTTTGCATCAATTATTAACGATGGCTCAATTTTCTGTAACCAAGAGCTGTTTACCAGCATGACTGCTCGATGCCCGTCTAAATTGTTGATAGACAGCCCATACATCTTGCACAGGTGTGGGTGTTGCAGCGACCGCATGATTTCCGCCTCATTCATGAAGTCCGCGATGGCTCCGTCACCCACGTGCACCGCAGTCACAATCTTTACTGCTACCTCAATCTGGGACAGAGAAATAATTGTATTTATTAAAAGTTATCATGAGCTCAGTTAAAGTATTAGAGTTTTCGTTTAAGTGGTCCTAATACTAACGTTTAATTTCAAACTCGATTAAAATTTACTGGCAGCTTTCAAGTATGTTAGCAAGGCAACAATTGAAATAATAAAAGTAGCTTATCAGAATGATCTGCTAGGTCTACCAGAAGTCGTGTCCTAATCATACCTTGTATCCTTGCTCGTTGGTCCACACTGCACTTTTCACTACTCCGAACTCCCCCTCTCCTATTGTACTCTTAATATCAATCTGGTCACATGGAATGATCCCACCATATGATAACACAACGCTCCCACCCACTACCCCTGAAGTGAATGGTGCTCCCAGTGATACCCCCTCTGTCCGTTGCGAAAGAGCGGCTCCCGATTTGTTTGGATGCTCGTCTGTCTGTACATGGCTTGTTGTCCGTTGTGGCTGTAAATGGGAGTTTCGGGGAATGCTTTTGCTTCTGATTGGCATTGAGCGCGTCGAAAATGACTTAGATTTGGGAAACATCATCTGAAACATCATTTTACACCTAAATTCAATTCAAAAGTTACATGGCACTCAGTTAACAATATATTTTTTTTCAGCTCTCCAATAAGTTCTCCAGCCATATAAGCCATAATAAATTGGCGTCGCGTGGTAACAAGTGTCTTTTCAAAAATTTAAACATTTGACTTAAAAGTACCAAATGTTTTAGGAAAACACTTCTCTGGTTGTTTTTTTGACAATTTTTGTGGCGTTTCAATATGCTTAGTGAACAGCATACGTGTTTGACGCGGGTAAAGGGTCCTGGCTTCTTTGTGATTTTGTCGTAAAAGTGTTTGAACCTCCTCATCTCTGGGCCAGACATGCCTATCAGCTGCAGGTCACTGTCTTCCACAAAACGCGCCTGCGAAATGGTAGTCACTGAAACAGATCAAAACTCAACTCGTAGACGAGGGTTAGGCGATAGAAATCATGTATTTTCAAACTTTTATCCTGAAGCCTCAAAAACTTCCAGAAGCCTTATTCTCAAAAGTAGTGTCTCCGTAAAAATTTGATTCATTTTACTTAAATTTAATTTTCTTCGAAAACTACTGACCTCCGAGTTTTGTCTGGAAACAGTTTAAATACTGTCTCAATTCTGCCTCGATGAGAAGTTCTTCGAAACAGCGTCCCGTCTTCGAGTCCTCTTCGTAGATGGTCTCAAAATCAGCCGCCGATTTTCTAACCTTCTGGGCAGACGCTCCTCCGGAAGACATGTCGCTTGACATTGTAGACACTGACTCGGCTTGTCGCCTCGTTTGAAGTGGCGTCCCCCCACCTCCGGTGCCACTGGACTGGCTTGATAATTGTCTGCTGAAATTGGTGCTTGTACTTCCATATCCAGATGTCAGAGACGAACTATTTGCTCCCGAGTTTGTAACAGAGTTCGTAACTGACGAAGACGCTGAAGCACCTCGACGTTTTGGCTTGTTGGATTTGTTTTCGAAAAGAACTGAAAAATAAACCTAGATTTTTCATGCTGAGAGTTTTCTTTAATTTATCTCAGGGTGAGGAACGATATGCATATTAGATCTGTGGCTTCAATTTAAAAAATGAAACAAACTGAACTGATTGATATGTTACACCTTCGAAACGTAGCGTTATGAGATTCAACTTTTTGTCAAACTGTAGTTTTTAATGTGATTTTACTGACTCAAATGAAACCTACGGAATCATTGCTCTTAGACTCCACGAAACAACAAAGCAATAAGAACGCCTGTTTTTGTGCGCATAGCACAGCATTATCTGACCACTATGGTTTAAGTCAAGAAACAAGGGAATATATATAATAAAAAAAATTATTTTCTATAGTTCTTGTTTTTTAAAATGTGGGTGATTAAATTAGGCTTTAAAAACTGCATAACAAAAGATAATCATAGCTAAAAAACGTTTAAAATTCTGTAGAATACAAAAATTGTCACTAAATTTTGTGCACTTTGGTCTGAACGTCTAAAAAAACCAGACAATTTTTCTCGATACTGCGACATCATTTTCGATTTTTTTTGTGGATCTAAATAACGGCTGAAAAGACTTCAAATAGTTGCCATAATTGACCTCGGAAGAGTTTTTCTCTTCATTCGAGGCAGGCAAAATCTGGATAAAAATCATACCTCATAGTTCCTTCCCAAGGCATTAACTTAAAAAACTGAAACAAACTAAATTTATTGATATGTTACACCTTCGAAAGTGCTCGACTAGCATAAAACTCGACCAGCGTAAGAGTTTGAACTTGCATTGATTAGTATCCGGTCAGTAAGACGACAGCTGTTAAGACGACAATTGCTTTTCTTAAGACGACTTCAAGACAACACTACATGCAATTCTCCGAAAAACTTAAGCCACCTAAATTCGAACTGCTTATTTTACATGTAATAGCGGTTGATTGTCGTCTTAATGTCTTGTCCTTTTTGATGAGCTGCCGTCCTATGTACTTAGCACCGTATCGACTAGCATAATTTTGATAGCTTAATTTTCGAAAATATCAGAAAACAATTATAATCCATTCACTCTGAGCCTGAGGCGTTCACTTCTGAGAAAACGACAATTGAGAAATGAAGTAAACAATAAGCAAATGAGATTCCTCGACACATAAATAAAGATCGGTCACACCTCGACCTGTAATGGTTTGAATCGAGCACTGATCGGAATGCAAATTGTGAAATGTGTGAAAAAAACTGCAATTAATGTATATTCAATTGTTGTAATGATGTTTAATTTCACAAAACTTGAACTTTGTGTTTCGATTTCTATGCAAGTCGATACTATTTACACTTCTAATTTTTTGACGAGTTTCATGCTAATCGAGGTGGTCGGAACAAAAAAAACTTCCTTTTCCTCTGCCTCAGATAAGCTTCAATTTTGTGGTGTAATAGACAAGTGATTTTACAAGTTTCAATACGAAAACTTCATATGTTTGTCATAACCTAATAAGTCCGCATGTAATAAAAACTGGACAAAAAAAGCAAAAGTTTTTATTAATAAAAGTGGAGAAAAAGGAAAAAGGGCCAAAATTTTTCCAATTGAGAACGGAAGATTAATACTTGATTGTTGTTATGCTGTTTTAATGAAGCCAAACTTTTTTTTCAGTTGTTGAGTTGATCAAAAATGATTCTTTGAACGCTCGTAAAACATTGTGAGTGGAACCTTATAGTTTTTTTCAAAAAAATTCTCCGAGCAGCAGGCGAACTTTATCTAAGAAGCGCTAACATGCCGTTTTTTGGTAACTTATGGAAAATTTTACCCTTCAAACGAGTTGTTTGTTTTTGACGTGCGCCCATCTACCCTCAAATTAAGTAAATAAGGCAAAAATTGTGCCATTCGAAAAATGAGACAATTTTTATGCACCCCCCCCCCCCTAATCGGGAAGGATGTTAACTTATTCAGAACATCTTAAGACCGAAGAGAAATAGGGATAACTCAACATTAATCCGCCTTTTAAACATCTGCATCAAAATTTTCATGTATTTAATCTTTCATTTAATTAGATTTTTCTAATCAAATGAAGATTTGTTCCGCAAGTTCAATTACCTAAAAGTGATTTTTTATTATGGCAAGTAACGTGACATTGGAAGCCGAATCGCGGTGTTTACTTTAAAGTTTGACCGTCTCGAACGAAGTTCGGAATCTTTTGAACGTGACAACCAAATTTGGGCACATTTCAACTTTCTCGGCCAAAAAAAAATCTTGCTCGACTGTGCTTGACCCAATGGAACCTGATCTAAACTATATTTTATGATTGGATAAATTAAATGTTTTACCAATGTAAAGTATTTAATATTAACCAATCACGATCCATCTAACTAACAACCCACTTATTTGTAAGTGCTGAAGTTACTTGTAATTTCAGCACCAGAGAGATTTGAATTTAACTTAGAAATTAGTTGGACTCTCCCGAGCACTTCAGCAGCCGCAATAAACCAGTATACCCTAGATCTATTGAGCCTAGCAGAGACTAGTTAAACAACCTGAGACTAGATAGTATAAGAGTAAGATTAGGATCGGTATTAGACTAAGAAGTTGCACGAATCTATCCGGCCGAAAATAAGATAGCGTGACGAGCAGACGGTGTACCCTATCCGAAATTACTCTATGAGTTAACCACTTCGGTCCTAACTCATCTGGTGCGACCATAAGTCTCGAACAAGACCTTAATAGCTTAGAATTAACCAAAATAGATTAGAAATTAGACAAAAACATTTAAAAAATGTTATACGACAATAATTTAATCGAAATGTCTCTACGACTCAATAGATCAGAGCCAATATTCCGAACCATAACAGAACTACCCGGAATTGGAAGAAGACCTCGAACCAGAGACGACATACGACAAAGTAGAAACTTGCCATATAGCTATATGATAGTTAGGCAAAAACCAGAACAAACTTTTATATTTAGAATACTACTGGCAATGAATTTAGATTTTCATTTGCAAACATAAAACCTTGAAGTTAATCTTCAAAATCATTTCAGGCGCTAAACAAAATTATTAATATACAATAACGATTGATAAAAAGATCTAAGATCGTTTTCCTAAAACTCTGCAGTAATATACAAAACATGTTTGAAAAATATTTATTGAAAAATAAAAAATAAAAATTAGTAGCATGACAATAAATGGTTAGTAATCATAAATCATCCTGTTGTTCCAGCTCCATCACCTAAAACATAACAGCAATCATAAACCCACTAATATCATCAAAACACTAAATCTTTCCTTTACACATATTTAAAATTTTATTAAAACTTAAATTCACTTAATTTTAAAACCAGATCATCAAGGCTTATCCTTGGATCTTAAATCATTTTCTACTTAATTAAATTTCAAATTTGATCATCAAGGCTTATCCTTGGATCAAACAGAACAACTTTGTTCTCCCCCACCCACTTAATTAGTGTCTAACGACCTCAAACGTCGATTCACTACCCAACCCTTTCTAAAGACCCAAGACTAATAGAAATTTTTAAACAAAACTAATCATTCAAATTAGGATAAACAGTGAAGAACTTCGGTTATTCATCCTTCACTTGACCCCCCCTCTTACCAGACCCAGGATAAATCTTAGACTTAGTAAGTTTAAAATAGTATCTAACGAACTACTCGCGTTCTAATTATACCTGAACCTTGTGGATCGATTTACTATTCTCCAACCCTTGAACACAATCACTACCCCTAAGTAAGATTAAGTAAGTTAACACCTTAGCTTATACTAGCCACGAGAAAGTAAAAAATCATTCTTCGGAATCGATATACTTTTCTCTCCAACCCTGAACAAATAGACCCAGGTTAAGCTAACCAAAAAATCGTAAGAACTAACAGTTTAAGAAAATAGAAATCATTTAACAACCTTTTGCATCCGTCATTCTAAACCTTATGTCATTTAAAAACCTAGGAAATAAACAAACAATCGTTTTACACAATTGTGAAATAGATAACAAAAAATACGACCTTGTAATCACACCTCATACACAAACAGTTGGATACATTCGAACAAAACGACAAACACTAAAAAGAAAAATAATAACGAAACAAAGACAAATAACACGAAAAAGATTTTCAAAAAATCGAAACGCATTTTCAGAATCAGAAACCAACAGTTTAGACGAACTTTACAAACTAAAAGAATCAATAGATAAAAATTGCCCACTTCACGATCAATTATATTTTTCTGACTCAGAAACAACTTCAAATTCATCAAAAAGAGGAAAAAGAAGAATAAAAAAGCAGTATAAACACAAACCAGTACATTTATACAATTGGAATCAACCAATTCGACACATTGATAATTACATATTAACAGTCATCGAACGAAAAAATGAGCTCAACGCACACCCCAGGTGAAGAAAGTCCAGATGATGATGAAATCTTTCCTTTTATAGTAGATGCAGATACTGATAGAGGACAACACATATTTTGTCAAAATTTACTCGTAAATTTATTTGAACCCGGAATCAGTCCATGTAAAACAGAGTTCCCAGATGTAAAAATCAAAAGACAAATCATAGACCACTACTTAAAAGATATATGCAACATAACACAACAGTATGGAATCTACTCCATAGAATTCACCTCACCAAACCATAATAATAGAAAATATACAATTCAAACAGACGACCTTGATTTAGAATTTTCAAAAGTTTTTTCAGAATATATAAAAAGCATCCAATATCATAACTCACAAAGAGCAAACTCCATATTCACCAATGAAGTTTTCGCAATAATATATAGTTATATTTCGATATTAGAAAACGAAATCCCAATAACAAATGTCTCACCGACAGAAACATCTAAACATTTAAGAGTACGACATGAAATCACACTACTCTCTAGTTATTTAAACATCATTAAAGAAAATTTCACGAAAGACGACGTTTCACAACATACAAAACACGATCTACAAAAAATTTTGGCATGGTTCATAATAGATTATTTCACACACAATATTGATTTAATTG